GTATATATACATTTTTAAAAAAAGAAATCTTTGTTAATCTGCTGATGTCAAAATCTAATAATTTTTAACAAACAAGTTCTTTAGTTCTTTTGGCAAATTATTTAATTATAATTAAACATAAAAATATATATATAATTATACATATAAAAATATTGTCAAATATTTAGATACTCGTATATAACATGGGTCCACGCAGATAGTGTCAAAAGAGGATTAATAGCAAAAATGTGTTTTTTTCATATTCCTTTTACTAATACATTACCAATTTGCATTGCATAAGGAACTTTTTCTGTTAATGGCAATATATTGGCGGACCCTTTTCTCTCCTCGTTATTAAATTTCAGGGTACCTCCATATATGCTTGCACAAATTAACTTCTTACTTTTTCTCTCTCTTTAAAATAGGTTTATTATTTAAATTGTTGATAAACTTACAATAATTGAATAATACTGAAGGTTCTTTACGTTCCAAAACTTCATAATATTTCTTTTAATGTAACTTGGTTTTGAACTACCAGTATTGACCGTGTCTTATCCATTGCACACGATATCATGAACTTTGTCCAAATTATTGGAAACAAGCCAAACGCCTGTTTTCATAAGAAATGTGAGGAAAACAAGCCCACAAATGTAGAATGAAAATTCGTGATTTTCGGTTTAAATGATTTAATCCAATTTATTTATCCAACTCAACTGAGTCAATTTCACTTAAGATTTATTTCAGGCGATTTGTACAACAATCAACGTCATGACTGCACTTGTACTGCGATGCGGCGTACATGAATAATGAGCATGCAAGTGTTTCCATTCCATCGGACATCGAAGGCCAATAGATGTAAGTACCTCTTTTATCAGTTGCATGAGTTGTTGAAATTTCAATTCTCTATAATTAACAACGGTCTTTAAGGTGCAAAGGAAATTTATAATTTCACTAATTTTAGATTAATAACTTCATTTCATAGGTTTACTTCATTTTTATAATTTGAACTGCAGAAGTTTTTAATATTTAAGATGTTATATAAAAATTAAAGAAAAAAAATATATAATATAATTTAATTAAAATTAAATATTTTTAGCATATATTTCATAGTTTATTTCATATTTTATAATGTTAAAAACGTAATTTACACATCTACAAAATTTTAAGTTACTCATCATATATCCACTGCAGCTAAAACTGCTCGTGTTAATGAAATTAAGATTCGGTCGTTTCCATTGACAGAAACTGATTTGTGCATGTGAAATGACATGTTTGTTTACATTTTACATAAAAAACATATCACAAATAATTCAAATTTTTGCAATTTTTCTTGTGAGAAATCTATTTTTAATGGTTGCATTTGACATTTATTGCCTCAAATCAGTTAATTTATTTATAATTAATTATAATTAATTAATAATATCGAGCATTATAATATTATATATAATATAATAATAAAGGAGGTCTCGAAGCTCGCCAAGATCTTCAAAAAAGAAATCCCCCAAAAATTTAAGGCGACGCTGCGTATGTGCCGGACAGAAACAAAGCAGGTGGGAGGCACTTTCGTCATTCTCACCACAACTGCGGCAAAAATGTTTGAAAGGGAGATTCGGTCTCCTAGCATGATTACCTAAAATAAAATGACTACCTAAAATACAATGTACTACAAGACTGATATCTCTGCGGGGCATCTCTAAAAGAGATTTCGATTTTCTATTGTTGGTCTGTGGCCATATTGCATAGAGATACCTGCATATCGCAGAGTCTTCCCAATTTTTGTTAAAAAGTTCGGCACAGCAAGAACTCAATACCAATTTGCATGATATCAACGAAATGCCCAGATTGTTTGGGTATTCCGTGTGGTTTCCGGAAGCACCCGGTCTGGCTAGCTCATCTGCTTTGCAATTGCCGAAAATATCCCTATATGATATGACCGGGAACCCAGATTAGAGAAAAATTGAACTGCGTCGACATCTAATACGATCTGTGTTAAATGTTGACAGTGTTGAAAAGAAAGATCTTGAATGAATATTTTGTTAAAGTCGAAAGTTGATGGGCCTATAATAGTGACGGAGTTGCAGTCTGTTGAGCTCAGTTGACTGGAACTCTGGTCACCAAATCAAGATTGATGAAATGTAATTGATCAAAAAATTAAAATAATAAATACTTTGTATTATTTTTAAGATTACTGTCATCAGACCTAGGACAAACTGTGTATCCCTTATTCTAAGCAAATCTTGGCAAGTGAAAATATACCAAGCGTTACCGGTTTGTAGTATTCAACTTTACTGGGCACTTTTTTAGTTGAGAGGAGTTCAGACACGTTTCCGTTAAAATTTTATCAAAATTCTTAAATAAATCGGTTTTGTGCTTTGAGTAGAGAGCGTGGCTTCTGCCTTTCTTTCTACTGTGCCATGACTATGAGTTGTGCTGTTGCAGTTGAAGATCATGCCACTGCAAACGGTAATATTTTGTTGGTTATTATTATGAAGAATATAAAAATTAATAAAAAAAATATAAAAAGCAAAACATAATTTTAAAATAAATAAACGATCAAATTGTCCGCAAGTAGTGGCGCTGTGGCGCACGTTTTTTCGCGGGCCTCATATTAATGATGTACACACGTGGCTGTGAAATCGTTATTTATCATGGACTTGTGGATTTGGATTTCACATATAATAAATATAGTATTTTAATAAAATTTTATTGAAATTTAAATTTTCAAATTTGTCTGTCGTTTTATTGTTCGCTATGATTTATCATTTCTACTTGCCATAAGGGACTGCTTAAAAGGTATTCGGTGTCTGTTGGTGGTGTAAATTGACGGTGCCAAGATCACGAAAAGCATTTTTTCCACAGTTGGTCTATTGATTAAAGTAAAAGAAATGAAATTCAACCAAGTACATTTATAAGGGAAAAATCGAATGGCAAACCAATATGGCTATATCGTGCAATCTTAATTATTTGATTTTTTATAAACAAAGATTTCATGACTTTTAAAAACAATTCGTCGCCAAAAATACTTAAGGGTACTCAATCAAGGAAAAAGGTACATTCACTTTATATACATTTTTGTTTAATTCTTAACATAAATCAAAGCAGGTGTAGGGAACTTCCCCAGCACTTTTGGATTAACGAAAGTAACACCTAAGTGGGGATCTTGCGTCAGATATAGAAATAAGACTCGATAAAATAGATAGAGTACTACAAATTATTGAGACAATTAGACTAAAATAAATAAATACTTTCAGTCTATAAAAAGAGAACAATAGGTCTTCAATTCGTAGTGCAAAATCCCCAAATTTAATAATAATAATTGATATGCACACCTTAATCACGTGAGCCCTAAAGGTCACCAATCGAAGATTTTGGATGCAAATGTGTATTGTGCATCCTTGTTTGAGCATAAATTTGCTCAGTGTGTCTCTTTCGTGTCTTCGTCCTTAATGCCTCGTAGTCTGTAGCTGGTGAAAAAAATAATTATCCCACGGATAATAAACTTTTTTCTATATATCCTATTATATTTTGTAAATTGGTCGAAATTGGTGTTTTTGCTTAAAACGGCACAACAAAACACACACTTAAAACATTTTAAAGCAATATCTTCTATTATTGTGAACTTCGACGCATAGAAAGTCTAATGCATGGGTACAGCTATGTAGTTCTATGAACTCGGGCCTTTTGAGACATGAACTGATCTACCACTAAGACTAATTAACGATTTCTACTCGTACAACATTATAGATAATTGCAAAGATACTAGTTCATCCTTTTAATTTTAAAGGAATAACTGTTAAGTATGCTATCCTAGCTAAGAGATTAACATTACTGAAAATATTCTTTGTGATTACAGGCATTAGTCTAAGCTAAGAGAAGGATATTTTACCGGGAATTATTTACTCTGCTACTATCTTTACAAGATGAAAACTTTTTTCCATGATATTTCTATATTGAAGACAGTAAGGCTACTGAAAATATTACATGTAATTACCAGATATTACTCTGAACTAAAAGGAAGATACTTAAATGAAAATTATTGACTCCGCTACTATCTTATCAAGTCTAGAACCATCTTATATGCTATCTTTATTTTAAAGAAGATCAGACTACTGGAAATGTACTACGTGATTTGAATATTTCAATGGATATTATTGAGTCCTTTAAAAATTAATTACAGTCAGAATGACTTCTGTTCGTTTAAGATTTATTGCAGTATAGATGATATATATATTGATCGTAGTATTCTACGTCACTGAAAGGTTTAATACTTAATATATTCTATTTTATCTACCATTAAAATGAAGAACGTTCTGCATAGTTCACTCAGCTTACGCGTAAGTGTAAGTTTAAATCAAATGTAACAGAGTTTTTAGTGCTGAGCAGAGTTTTCCAGAGTACTTCAAAAAAAATTTTCCAAGAATAGTTACCCTGCTCCATATAAAAACTGGACAAAATCAGCAGAATATATGAGCGCTTGATATATGGTCCTTTTTTGACAAGAGGCCACAAAAAATATCAGATAGAACTCTCGGTCACTTGCATATTAAATAATGATAGGTTATAAAGTTTATGAAATTAATCAGTGGCTAATTGTGATTCCATTCAAGTTTTGTAGCTAAGGATGGCCTTATTTTTTAAGTTAGAATACATACAATTCAGATATAAACTCTTATTACGGATATTTAAAATAAAAGTTCTTCGAATTGTGTATTTATATCGAAACAAATTATTATATATAGTATGAAATTTTTTAGAGATGTCAAATATTACTTCTTTATACACCAATCGTCATATATAGTTTCGATTGTTTAATTTAAATAGCCCTTAAAAAATATATGTGCAAACATCATCCATCTATCCAATATATGGTAGTACCCGCTACCTTTAATTACATGTCTTACGTTTTATTTCTACTATGTAAAGTATTATCTATACTTGGATAGAGGCATTAGTGTGAATAGAAAAACAATATTAAAATTAAAAAAAAAGACAAATATAATACATTCCATTTAGGGATTATGGAATGGATCCATGTAGATTTATTTAAAAAAATTTATTTTTTCTATTTTTTATAATGAATCTCATTGGTTATGGAGTTAAGAAAATGTAAAAGTTAGAGTGCAATGAGACTTAGTGATATACATTTTAATACATAATGAATTTTGCTTAGATGATTTATTTTAAATTACTTGTTTTAAATTTAACTTGTCCTTCAGTATCACATTTGCACATGTTAAGACATATCTGGTTGGATGTCTTTATTCATTTCGGCAAGAAGAACGTCATTGAGTAAGGATAATTCGACCAGCTTATCAATCACAACATTTTCAGGCAGCTAAAAAATTTTAATAGATGAATTAAAGTTCAAAGTTGAATAATTGGTCAAGAAATGAAAGAGAGATCATGTAAGGAGCTAAGTAACACTTAATAGACCGATTACCTGAGAAAATTACATAGAAAGCTATTTACCAAAAAATGCGAATGATATGAGGCAGTCAATCAATTAAAATAGAGAAAATCGATTGATTGATTAAATTAACTATTCACTCCCCAATAGAATATCTTTAGTAACAGATATTCTCTTACAAGAAATAAAAAATAGTGAAAAGAAAAAAACTTCTTATCTATTCTGTAATGTTCACTAGAAAGCTACCGTTTTAAGATATTTTTTTTAATATCTATCCGATTTCTCTAAAATATTCATTAAATAGGCCCAGAATAGGAAAATAAAATGTCCAAATAGTCAGAAAGTTCTTTATGACATCACAACGGACATATTGTTCAGGGTCATGTTATGTAGAGTGTCATGGGGTCGTTGAAATTGGCTCCTTAGAGCTATGACGAAAATGCATGTTAACATCTTTGTACTAAAAGACACAAATTTTAACATTTATTACTAAAAAACACTGCTTTCCTGGTGTCCTACTTGCCCGCAATTAAAAGAGAAAGCAGAACATGTCCTGCTTGTCCAAGATTCGGACACTAGAGAGAATTAGAAGCGGAGTAGACGAACCAGTATCGACCGGCAACTTGGTGCCCTTCATGTTTAGTTCGGTTAAATTGAGAGTTGCTGAACAACTTCGATGACGGGAAGAGATACTTCCACAAACACGTATATGGTTAATGATATGATGACCAGACTAACGATTTAAACTTTTGCTTAGCATCCTTCTTTTGGACCTATTACCTAACGGTGGTTTCTAAAAGAGCTTTCCGTTTTTAGGGCGATTGAAATCTTCCACAAACTAGGCTTTCGAGCTTTTCTCCCATTGAAAAAAAAACACCCTCAAGTGATAAGGCCACCCATGGCACTTTATATAACATGGCCGTAATCCATTCTCATATCGTTCAGTTAGACTGTAAGAATTACATCAGAACCGCGATATCACAAAATTGTATCCATATTGAATTTACTTAAATTTTTTTTTAATATTAAGATGGATATAGTTTATCGTAATATTACTTATGATTAACTATAACATTAGTTTCTAACTACAATATAAGGAACCATAATTTCTACTTCCATATCAGTTGAGACTTTGCTAATACACGGCAGAGGGACTAAAAAGTTAGAAAGTGTTCAGATGGGATGTATAGTACGAAACAAATTGGGAAACACAGAGCGATATTCACTATAATCACATTTTTAAGTACATACATACATACAAAAAAAATTATTCATTCAGGTAAAATATAATATATTTTAAAGACAATTGAAATTTACTTACTTCACAACTAGTGACAATATTATTAAGAACTTCGTGATATTTTTCAGACTTCGATGCAATCGCATCCGTACCGCTCTCAGAGTCACCGCCTAACGATTTAAAGTCAAATCCAGGTGATAAGTTGCGCAATGATGTTAAATCCATGTTATTAACAAACCACGGATTAAGACAAAGTGCATTCCATACCTCCATTAATGTCAACTTAGTACAATATGGTATAAAAAATATATATTTTTCAATATTTCTTAATATATACATATGTTCGGAAATACAGTATAATACTCACACCTGCCTCCGCAATTACCTTGATGATATGCTCGTTTGTTCCCACCTTGGCGTTCAATAAATTATTAAATTCTGACCCTTCACTTTCCATTTTTTGTTTTCTTTTACGAATCACTTAAACGTATAAGAATTTTATTAAACAAAATATATGCAATTTATAATTATATATACAAAATTATACTAATAAAATCATAAAACCAATTTCAATTTATTTTGAGTTTAATTAAATAATATTTTAAATTCATAGATTACTCTTTTATATATGAAATAAATATTTTTCTTTTTTTTTATTATGTATTTGTATTAATTAATTACAGCTGCTTCTTCTTATTTGTCACTACAGTCTTGAGTGATCCTTAGCCTTGCTCACCAACTCCCTCTATCTGTCCTGATCTTTTGCTACTCTCTTCCAGGTCAGTGTTCAATCCTTTTTGCATCATTATACACGTTCTCATCCCATTTTGTTCTTGGCCTACCTCTGTGCCTGGTTGTCATCGGCTTTGTGTTATATATGCTGCTCGGCTTTCTCTCCGGTCCCATTCTTACTATATCAACAATCCATTGTAGCCTTTGCGACTTAATATATCTAACTATATTTGCGTTTTTTAATAGTTCTTTAATTTCGATCCTTTGAATTAGTCAAAACTAAACCTTAACCAAAAAATTGTTGATATTAACAATATTAACATTAGTAACGTAGAGAACGTAAAGACTGAATACTTTACGTTATGCTGTAAGCAATCAGGTGATCCATTCTACGTTCATTTAATCGTCTGTATAATGTGGTTCTTATGGGAAACAACACATTTCAATAATGATGCGGAGCAGAGGTTCCTCACACAGTATCTAGTCTCGTCTGTAAAAGCTTAGTTTGTCTAATATCAAGTATCCATTGCAGCAAAAACTACTTACTTATGGTGATCTGATTGAGATTGGCTAACATAGCTCCTATCATTGTCTTTTATAAAGAAGTACTCACTGAGAGACATTTTCGATCAATATTAAAATAGCTAAATGTCTTCCATTTAGTGACCGAGGTACTCCGCTGCACCGGAAAATCAAATCCGCTTAATAGAGAGAAATTTTAAAATGTGGAAATCTCAAATTTTTAATCAAATGTATTTTTGGACTTAAGACACAGCTGTTTCGGTCATTGCCAAATATTTATTTTCAAGAGCCATTAAAAACAGCTATTGATTTAATTTCCATATATGTATATAGTAATTTTTGGACTGTGTCAGTAATAAAATTGATATAATATTAAGTATGTGTAAAGATATTGAAGGTGTGCAATTAAAATGATTCACTATCAAATATGTCGGAATTATTTACCAGTCAACCGTCAGGGAATGCCATAAGCAGAAAACGGCAACTTCACCTGAAGAGCCTTCATACACATAATCTCAAAAAATTATAAATAATAATTTAATTATGACACGAGACTTGATGCTTTACAGGCTGTAACTTTAGGCTGTGACTTTGCAAAAAAGACGACAAAATGCGTTAACGCAAAATCATTAATTAATATTAAAATCAAAAATAAACATAAAAAAAAACTATATAAGGACTCTGAAATTTATATGTTATACAACACAGTAGAGGTTTTTTAGTATAAGGAATTCGGTTATATTTTATTAAGAGTATACATACATATATGCATTCAGTAAAGTCACTACTGAGATGATTATAAAAAGTTATGCAAGTAATCCGCTCTTCCAGTGACTGATTACTTCTGTAGAGTTAAATATTGACCAATGTAGTTATATATATACATACATATACATTAAAAAATAACAATTTCAAAATAGTTTAGGTTATGGAAATATTTTTCAATTTTTCCAACTCATATTAAATACAGTAATAACAGTTTACACCAGTGTGTAGCAAAAATTATAATTATTTAATATATATTTGACTTTAATAATAGTACATTCACACTGTTTCATTTAGGCACTTGCTCATTTATATTAATAAGTAAACGTTCACATTATAATGAGCTCATTTATGCAGCTAATAGAACTTTTGTAAACTTCCATTAATATTGTCTTACATAAAAAAATTAAATATATAATTGATATATTAAATTAATTACATTATAATGAGCTCATTTCAGCAGTTGTTAGAACTTTTATACGCTTAAATGAACTTCACTTAATAATATATTATACAAAAAAATTAAATATATAATTGACATATTAAATCCTTTCTTATATATTTTATATATCAATTACATATACAATAACAAAGTTCTTATTAAATACTTACATCCTCAGTGCTTTTATTTACAGCTCAGCTGTTGTTTGTTTACATTTTATGTATAAAACATATGTCAAGTATTTCAAATTTTGATAATTTCCCTTCTGGGCAATTTATTTTTAAAAGTTGTACTATGTTCAGACGGCCAAATTGGCTTAATTTCTTTAAAATAAAATTAATTTAATAGGGTAAGTGTGCATACTGCCCCAAATTAAGCAAATCATATGTTTCTCATTTAGAAATCGAATACCAAAAATTAGGTCTGTTCCACGAGCTACTCGTAGTAAAACATGAGTAAAACAGAAGTAAAATTTACACAAAAATACTTGAAAATTTGCTGGTGAAACGCGCTTGTGTAAACACAGTGTTTACTCAAATTTACTATGAGTAGCTCGTGGAACAGACCTATTATTTGTTCGAAACACCATTTGTGTCTGCGAAATTTTAAAAGTTCATTATTCTAACTATAAAGGATGACATTCAGGACGTGTGCGAGTTAGGGTAAGTTGCGTTCTAAAAGAGGGATATTCTAATTTGTGCCGATAATGCAGTGATGTGTCGATACGTGTTGATAAATGGCTAAATGTGTGCAGTACAAAAAATCCCAAAAAATCTCCCATTTGGTTTAGCATCGACTTAACCTAACTCGCACACGTCCTTAGTACCGTAATGACTATAATTTAAAATTAATTATAATTAAAATTCAATAATAGAAACGTACCTCCTCGCTTGTGTGCATTTTATCAACCTTCTATTGCCCAGAACTCAAGTACGAAGTCACATACATATAGACTCTTTTTGAATGACTCCAGAGTGATTTATCTATTCACGCCATTATAAAGAGTTGATGGAAAGTTTTTGATCTGGAAGCGCTTCAAATGCGCTACTGGAGGCAATTAATGCGTACACGCGCAATCCACACGTAAACGCCAGCAACTTTCAAGTTTGCACAAGTGTTGTTGCTGTTGTTGTTGTTGCTGTTGCTTGTGTTGTTGCTGGTGTTGGTGGTGTTGCCGTTTTTTTGGATTTAAATAACGTTTATGTCCAGTGTTTGTGCATCTGACACAGAGCCGAGATTAGCATATTTTGATAAAATTTAATTTAATATAAATTTGACTGCGATTGGGTTCCAGCGTTACGCGAACGCCGCTTAGTATTGTGTTACGTTGCGGATTTACGGATGGCAGTAAAAAAATCAATGCCAGGAAGAAGAGGAGAGAAGAGGAGAAAAAACAAAAAATTTTAAATACGCGCGGCAAACTGAACCAAGAATTTATAAATTCATGAAAAAAAAAAGTTATTTTGATTTGCATAAATTATACTCACTTTCTCCAGCAGAAAGCGAGCGAAGGGCCGGCGGACCGGAGGACTGGATGAGTGGATGACTGGCTGGCTGGCTAATCAACTAAAAGGATACTCCGTTTATAGCTGTTATAGCTGTTGTTGGGCACCTTCGGTTTAACGCTTGTAGGTGCTCAAAGGGTCATCGATGCTTTGTTGTGGTTGTTCACTACATCATTATAATGTCGAAATTAATTAGTTGCGCTTACATATTTACAATATCATAATTTCCACATATGCAAACATAATGAAAGGAATTGACATGAACGTGCGCTTGCCGTCTTCATCTTCCTCCAAGTCATCCTTCGCGCCAGTGACACAGTTATGGCCATTATTGCAGCCGTGGCCGTAGTCACAGTCACAGCTACAGTCACAACCTGAGCGTAAAGGCATTGTCCTATATTTGGAGTATTTATTTGCAAGATTTTGGCAACATATGTATTGTCGTGGTTGTGTGTAGGCGTTGGAACGGCATCGTGGCCATCGTTCAACTGTGGTTTCTGTGGTTAATACTCTCGGTTCATTTCAAATGTGGCAAGGCAAGGCAAGTTGAGCCGAGGCGATGAATATCAATATGCAACCGAACCCATGCTGATTCTGTTTTGATGTTGTCATAATTATGAAGGCAAAAAAAAAATAAAGTTAACTTAACATTTTTATGTTGTACTTAAAATTAATTATGCAACAACAATCGTGTAAACAATTTTGTTAATTATGAGCTTATGAATGTGATAAAAATATGCGGTTTTCACTTTTCAATTCGATGCGATCGCACAGGACATCGATATTACACACCAGCAATACAATTATCTCCGGTATGATATTGTTGAATATATTCAATTATATATTATATTTCATATGTATGTATATATATATATATATATGTTGATGTTGATTCTTTTTTCGAGTTAGCGCAACTCGGCACTTTTACTCTTTGATAGCTGGGGGTACTACAGGGTCCCACCCATCTCATTGACTAATTTGTATATCTCTCATAAGCTTCATGATTATTGAATAGTGATTGATCTATATATATATATATATATATATATATATTATATATGTATATATATATAAGCATATATACAAATGTATATATACAAATGTATATATATAGAATTGCGAGCACGGTTGCCACTTATGGTACTTTAGTACCAAAATTGGTACTTTTTTTTTCGTTTGGTACAACCCAGTTGTAAAAGTAAATAAGTTACATTCACTAATATGACAAAGCATGATTGAAAGTTTTATTGTTAATCAAATTAAAATAAACACAAATTAAAATAAATGAATTTTCCTACATTTAGCTTCACTCAATTTTTTTTAAAATTATATCATAGCTGCTATTTTCGCTTCAGTTTATAGAATTTGGAATGCAGATAGTCTTACTTGGATCATCATACTTTTCTAGTATGTCTTAATCAATTTTAAATTTGAGAAGCTTCTTTCCGTTGAAGTTATACTGACTGGAACTGTGAACATGAATCTGGTTACTATATAAACATTCGGAAATATTTCGAATATGGTTAATGCCATTATCAAATCAAATTGTTCAAAATATTTATTAAGTGCTTAGAATCCACAGTCGGTAACTTTTTGCGAGGCCCCTGTGGGCGCGAGGCCGTCTGCGGTCGCCGACTTCGCTGACGCCTAGCGACGCCACTGTATATATATAAGTACTTATACATTTAAGTTTTTACTTAGCTCAACTACATTAACAAAAGTAAGGATTAGTATAATATTACTATATATTATTAAACATAATTTAATATTAAAGTATTATTATTATTTCCATACTCCATTAGGAGCTTAAGAAGTCTACAAAAGTGTGCTATTGCTCTTAACTCGTTAAACAATTTGCCCGTCTCCAGTTGAACTATCCTTCTCCAGGTCATTGCTGGTCTGCCTCTGCAGCATGCGCGATATCTTCATAAGGCTTACGCAGTGTATGTCCAATCCAACCATACTTCTTTCTTCTTATCTCTCTGGTCACGTTATATATATATATATATATTCACCAAGCAAAGAACAGTGAATTTTGGTGGCAAAAGATTGTTGTGTTTCTTCTGTGTCTTTGACTCAACAGTAGGGGGTTATATTGTTGCCTACTTGTAAGACACATAAGGAAGAAGAGGATTTTTTTTCTGTACTCTGAGTACACTCAGAATAATCCCAAAATAAAGGCTACAGGAACAAGAACCAGAGAATAGATTAAAACCTACGACAGGAAAGAAGTCGTGGATGCTATAGGATCTATTAGGCACGGCAAGTGTTGTTTGATTTATTTGTATGTATATGTGAGTCTATATCATGTCAAGAAATTTAATATACAATTTTTCAGATTTCCATGGTTTTACTGCTGAAAAATCGCGATAAAAATGAAAGTAATCTGTCAGGTTTTGGAATCTGACTTACCGGCTTGTATTTAGACATATTTTTGTACATTATTGTCGCAACAAAGGTTTATCGTTGAAGTTATTATTTATTAATAAATAATATTTATAAAATTAAAATATGAATATTAATAATAAATTTTATTAATATAAATTAATTATATTAATGAAGTGTGGAGGGCTATATACTGCGACTCCGATGGTTTGTTGTTTCAACCGAACATTCTACATATAATGAACTTGAGTATTATTGATGGTTTTGGATAGGGGAGCAATAGGTCTCTTCCCCAAATGATCCTTGAAAATTGTATAAGAATTAACAAAATTTTTAATGAAAACAAAGAAATGGATTAAAATATCGAAAGATTATTGGAGTTACACAGAACACGGAGATAACGCGTTACTTTATTAGACAATTAAGTGTAATAAATATAATATATACAGCTTATAACAGTTCAATCATAGGTGAGAGTTAACAAGAAGTCAATGAAAGCACATCGATTTGAAATTTAATTAAAAAATATTGTTTTGATTATAATTTCGTTGTGTTCTGAAAAGCAAAATCAATGTTCAAATTTTATAAAATTTGACAAACTTTTTTTGGCAAACTTCGTTTGCTATCATTCTGGTATCTGCCAAATATCCAATTGCTTCCCGGCCGAGGAAGACATCTTCATATAAAGACCATTGACAAGAATATTACTTACGGTTGAATGAACTGGATTAACGTGAGTTAGAGTATATAAACGATTATTCGACTTTGCATCGTATACATGAATAATGCTCTCGGCATTACCCACAAGGAGCAATTGTCCATTTATGTTAAAGCAGCAACCAAATTTTTCGCTGTCAGAACCAGTAAAAGGTCCATACTTGCGGACAGGTTTCATATTTTCCAATTCAAACAAAGTCACGTTTTTCTGATCGGCGACTAAGATGTTTTCACAGTTGACAGCGATATCAACATGACAATTTGCGCTATAGCCCGGAATATCATAAGCAGCGAACGCATTTTTAGTTAGATTTCTTCTGTCATATAAAAAAATGCCGGACGTAGTGACTACAAATATAGTGGTGCTACGTGGAAAGCATTTCACTACGCCATTTCCTTGCATCTTCACCGAATCGATAGCTGTAGCGCTACGTTCATCCCAAACGTTGATTTTCTCATTATCCGCTGTGGTGGCAAAGACGAATGGTTCGCTACTTATGGAAAGACTGCGAAAGTTCTTTGCATAACTGAATTTTGTAATGAATATACCGATTTCCATGTCAAGTATACGTGCACCGACAAATTTCTCTTTCGTTGTGAAGAGCAATTTATTCTCATGGGTGAATTGCAAGTTGTCTGCGCCCAATCCATTGCAGGTTTTGGTGAATGTCAGATTATCATTACATCCTTTCATAACTGCAAAAAAATTATCCGTAACAACACCCAACAAATCTCCATTTCTGGAATAATGCATCGAGTTAATCTCGTTGGGCATTGTGTACGTCTTGCAGACTTCCGGATATTCCATTTTTTTTGTTTTTTGTGAACTTTTTTTTGTGAACGCACGATACGCAAAAGAAAAAAAAATTTTTTTTACAAATAAACTTTTAGTATTAATTATATTTTATTGCCATGAATAATTTTAAATACTTTCATACTCAAAAATCCCAGGTAACTTGAACGATTTTTAATGTCATTTTTTATTTTTTTTATTTTAGACTTTGTGCTTGTGTTTGGAATAGACATGCTACATAGAGTTATAGTGCAGTGAGCCGTGCCTACATTTGTGAATCTCTAGAAAATATGTCCACGATAAACATCGGCACAGGCACTTGTGCTAATTGTATGAAGCTTGATTTTCTAAGATTTCACTGCAATGGAAAACTAAACCGGCTAGCTGATATCACTCAGCTTCTTGAACCCTGGGTTCCTGGACATAGAAACATGGAAGAAAATGAGAAAGCAGACGATTCGGCACGTTTGGTGCTTTCCAAAATGTGTCCGTAGGGGTATACATTTACATTCTCCTGGAAACCGTCAGAGTAAATACTTACCTCTGTCTTCTTCGGCTTGCCAACAACAAATAGAAGCCACTTTGGTCATGTGCAAGTAATTTAGTAATTGCATACTTTTAGGCAATTTGCTTATTATATGGAATAAAATAATTATAATCAATATAATATTGTATCTATATAAAAAAATAATTAATATTAGCGTACATATTACTTTTGAGTATGTAACAAATTTGAAGAAATATAAAAAATTATGGAGCTTTTAAAAGTAGCAAATTTTTTTTTTGTGGACGCCACTGTAAGTGTAGAAAATTAATGTCTTTTTTGATATTTTTAATTGGCATACTGCTAAATCGCTAAATTGCTAAATGGTTAAAGTAATTAATTTGAGCTCAATACTTTGTATGATATATCTATATTTTACCCCTGGTATATTATGATGTTAAAGTATTAAATTTCTGCTTTTTATCCGAAATATATTTTTGGTACAATTTTTATTTTCGTTTGGTTAACCTTAAACAAAATATATAACACTCGAGTTTATCCAGATATTTTGCCAGATTAATAAAATTACACTTAAATCAACACTTATTTTATATTATTTGATATATGAAATGCATATTGCATTTTAAATATTTGAAATGTTGTGTTTACTTGTTGAAAATAGTTAATAGTTGAAAATTCAATTAAAATAATGTGACAAAAGAATAAAATAATAAAATATATAAAATTAGGATCAGTTTCGCGGGTGAACATATCCCAAAACTGCCAAATTTTGTCTAAAAATGACATATATCTGTCTAACCTTGCTTCTGCCAAACCAAATGGTGTAGCCTAAGCAAAATCTCTTAGTTCCACCGTAACAAGCAACAATGATCTCAACGTGGCGATAAGACGAAAAATCACCATTGCCAATAGGTGCTATTGTAGGCTCATTAAGCAAATGTGATTTAGAGCTCTCTTCCGCAGGTATTTGAACCGGTAATTGGAGGAAGAAAGCTTAGGCGTAGGCTGTGTCTACAATAGAGCCACCAAATTGACTAATCACTAAATCACTAAACTCATAGATGTGTCTGAATCTTCATCCATATTCGCAAATGCTAACTTAACTTGTTCTTCAATATCTGTTTGCAAAGTTAACAAATTTAAAATATACAAGCAATTTTGTTTTATTTGTACTTACTTTTTTCAATATCTTTTATGTTGGAGAAAATATCATAATCTTCTTCTTCCGACGACATAATCAATTCTTGTTTTTCTTGGCGTAAGAAAAAAAAATTATGTTCAACCAGACGCTGTCACTTTTAATCAAAGAATACATCAAGAAAAAACGCATCAAAATAAAATCTATGGGCCTATTTACACTATCATGAACATGAACATGAACTTGAAAACCGGTTACTTATTGGGCCAATTTACATTATCATGAACATGAACATGAACTTGAAAACCGGTTACTTATAGATGCTCTCATCAAGAGGGAAGAGAGTGTGATGTTAATTCATGAATTTGACGCAATGAAATATACATATGCAATGTTATGTTTATGTTTATCTTTTAGTGCTGAATACTCTTAATTTCTGTTGTCTTACTGTGCTCGTATAAAATGCTACACACAAGCATTTTATACGTTTAAACAAAACAAAACAAATTTCACGCTCATGAGAGTTCATGATAGTGTGAATTGAACTGACAGTTCATGTTGTCGTCAAGTTCATCTCACGTTCATGATAGTGTAAATAGGCTCATTGTCTGAGTTTTATTCTTCAGATGATTTCAAAATATTCAATAATCTTATAAATATCAGTGAAATAAAAAAGCGTAGGGTGAAGGATTTCGCAGACAATGTTTTTGAAAATTATACGGAATAAGAAGCTCGTTTATAAAAAATGTTATGTATACTTTAAAGAAAATTTTCGACTTAGCCGCGATGCTGTCAAAAATATTATACAAGAATTTGTTGACTCGCAACATTTCAAATATATGTGTAAATGTCAAATAATGTTGGGATCACCCTAAACGCGTGCGATTAATTTACATACGCTTTCGAATGTTCACACTGCAAACTTATGTTGTTTTCGTTTTGCTAAATCTGGGGTAGCTTTTTTAATCGAGATTCGGTGTTAGTACAATTTTCATTTTCGATTGGTAATTCTGTATAACGCTCGGGATTAATTTATAACACTCGCGATATTTGCCCAGAGTAACAGAATTACTTTGAAATTTACAGCTATTTTATATGACTTGACAAATAGAGTGTGATTTGATTTAATTTATATATTTATGAAAAGTATAAATGTTTGCTAACACACTTATAAAAATGTTATATTACTCTAAAAACGTTCGATTGGGCTATGATAACTGAAAAACCAAGAGTAATTTTAGGTTGAATTCAAATTTGCAATCGAAAACAGCATTAACCTTGAATGTACTAATTTAGAGGCTTATGTGAAGCAAATAAAAACTTATAAACTATTTTTAATAATTTTATAATTATTATATAATTGTAATATTATAAATAACGTAATTTACGTTTATGAAACACTATATACAACTATTGCCAGGGCAGAGTATTATCATTATTACTATTATTAAATTGATTTGTTTAAAAAATGCATACATATTTGTCGCCGTGACTGTAAATGTACAGTAGTGGCAATAGGTTGTACTATTAAAATTACATTGGCTGCATATTTTTTCATATATATTCGTAGGAATAATTTTTTTTAATAAGAAGTCTTTATATATAAAGACAAAAGTAATATTATTAAATTTATATTCAAAAATTTACCACAAAATATATAATGTGCATATGTAAATCAAATAGTAAAAAAAATAATTTATAATTATGTATGACTGCATGGCACTCAGGTAGGTAGTCCTTGAATTCGCTACCACAAATATTCTATTCAAACGGAAGTAAATAAAATAAAAACAGCAAAAATGCACAAATGCACAATTGCAGAAATGAAATGAAAATTTTATTACAAACCTAAACTTTCATGACAATTATTGATTTCAACTTCGCAAAGGTTGCAAATTTGCATATAATTGCAATGCACAAATGCACATAAAAATTAATCTTCACAGGCTGACATTAGAGGGGACGCAATAAATGGCACCTCGACTAAGCGTGTGCAAACTTTAGAGATTTCATATAAAAAGTATTAATTACACTTTTTTATATATTTTTTTAACAGCTTGAAATGTGTGGCTAAATTTTTTTTTAATTTTTTTAAAGTAATTATTATTTAGTAAAGTTGTTAATTTAAATCTTTTGTTTATGCGATTGCATGTCGCACGCATCTCGCCTAAGCTACGTCATACTTTTAGGCGCACCGTTAATCACTCATCACTGACATAAAGCACCCTGTGCGCAACTGTCACGGCAATCAGCTGTTCGCTGCTCGTTGCTCGCTGGTTGGAAATTGGAACTTGCACCACCACGTTTGGCAGGCAGCACGAGAAATGAGCAAGCGATTCTTTACAAATAAACGTAAATAAAATAAAAAGTGAAACATACAAACGACATTTTTTAGCGAATTACGTTTTATAAAATCAGTGGAGCACGCCAATTGCGGGCAGTTGCCCATGAGCAGCAGAAAAGTCAGGACGCGCCACAAGCGAAAACAATCGAAGAAGAAGAGATTGCCCTAGCAGCACCTGGTCGAGTCGTGCTGGTCGTGGTATTAGCAACCAGTGGTTGTGACTAATTTATTAAACATTCAATTAAATGTCAGTGTACGTTTGGGTAAGTGTCGATTTGTGTTTGCTTTGCATTTATTACGGATAATGGGTGTGCCATTAAATGCTTTCGATTGCTATTATTGCAGGGTGCAAATTCGCATGGCCAACTGGGCCTTGGCTTTGAGTCGGAACTTTGCATGTCGCCGCAATTGTTAACTAAACACTCATTTAGTGCGAGCGGTGTACGTTGTATACGTGGCGGAGGCGGTCATGTTTTGGTGTTGGATACGTATGGGCGTGTGCATGCATGCGGCTGGAACAATCGTGGACAATTGGGCTTGGATTCGTTAAAAGAGTGCCATAATAGATTTGAATGCATACCAAGTGATGCTTTTCAGGTAAGCTAATTTGTTGTTAATCTCGAGCATTTGATCTACTGATATATAAGATGCAATTTTGGATGTTTAGGATGTGCCTGTGGAGTATATTGCTTGCGGCTGGGATATAAGTGGCTGTGTAACTGTAACCAAAGAACTTTATGTATGGGGCTCAAATTCATATCAGCAACTGGGCATTTGTCAGCGTGAATATGCGGTTATCTCTAAGCCTATGAACGTCTCATTACCTCGTGGCGAGAAGTCGCAACGCATAAGTTTCGGTATGCGTCATTGTGTGGTACTGACGCAGAACTATAAGATTTTTGTATTTGGCAATTTGACACTGCAACAGCCGCCTGAGGAGTTGAGTGTTACAACTATGATGCTAAATCATGCCAAAGTTATGAAGCTTGCGCTGTACAATAGCAAAGATTTGCGCATCACCGACATAGCCAGTGGACAAAACCATTTGTTGCTGAAAATACAGGAAGTGAACCACAAAGGTGATTGGAGCGGTAGACGTGTTATAAGCTTAGGAAATAATAAATTTGGTCAAGCAAACAGTTTTCAATTTGAGGACGAAATCAAGCAAATAATTGTTGGCTGGACGCACAATGCTGTGTTGTTGAAGAACAACTGCGTCTACTTATGGGGACGCAACTGTTACGGACAACTTGGTACTGGCGGTTTTACAGATAAGAGTGTTACGCCAATTGCATTGCAATTGCCAGGTGAAGTTGTGCCGGCGCGTTTGCACTTCGGTGCTGAACACTGTCTACTGCGTACAACTTGCGGTGCCGTCTACACTTGGGGCTGGAACGAACACGGCAATTGCGGCAATAATAACACTGAGAATATGTAAGTTTTAGCGGAAGCGGTAGAGCGGAAGCGGTATATGTATATTTAATCGATTTTAATATGTATTTGTATTGCAGAGATGCTGCCACTTTAGTGGAGTTGGGCTCAACATGTAAAGTTGCTGGCACCGGTGCGGGATTTTGCTTTGCTATCTGTGAAGCTACGTAATTAAAATGAGTTTATTTATATTATTTTGTTGCTTGTATGTGTGTATTAATGTTATTAAAATAAATGGTATTATTATAATGAAAGTTTTTGCTTTCAGCTTAATTAATTATAAGTGCAAAAAAATATCTATTTATTGATAGCAATTGAAGTGAAGCACGCTCCGAGTCCTCTGTTGGTTGGGTTAGCTAGACTTCGGTGACTTGAAAAACGAGTAACTTCAGGTTGTAGACACATCCAACAGAGAAGCGAGGAATTCGTTTATTTAATATATAAAACTCCTATATTATGTATTGCATTAAGAATTTCGCCATTAAAAAAAATTAATAGACTAGTCAAACTTCTAAGGCTCTAAAGGAATATGGCATCCGTCTTTTTCTGTGATATGGATATGTAAAGGAAAAGGCCATATAATCTAAGGATAAGGTTGACAAGAAAAAGAAGCTATTAAATTACGGGTCTACGTTCCACAGCAATTCAATTCGACAACTCCGGGCCCAGCAGGTTACAACAACAACAACAACATAAAAGCACATATTCTGTGCGTCATATGGAGTTTTTTTTTGTGGATTGGACCTGCTGGGGATATATGGTGTGGCCGGTTGATTTATACAACTTGAAGCTTGTGTTTTGCTAAAGTAGGCATCATAAATTAAATAACCACCTAATTTTAAATAAAAGATAAAATATATTTTTACTTTTGTAAATATTCTTTATAAGTATTAACATTTTTTGTAATTATAATTAATTAATTAATTAATTAATTATTTAATTAATTGTTATTGTTATTGTTATAATTAATTGTTATATTTAAATTGAATATTATTTATATAAAGCATACTATTAATAAAATCGGTGCATGAAGTTTTAGCAATGAAGTGGTGGACCTACATTTTGAAACTTCTTATTTTAAAATAACGAATCGCGCTGCCTTTTTTTATAGACAAAGTTTAGGAAAACGATCTGAACGAAGGAATTGTGCAAAGCTGACTGCTATAAATGTTCTATCAGACCCTCTATTAGCTACAATCAGTTATCAATTAATTCGATCACTCAAGTCATCACATAAGATGTAGTCTATCTCTTAGGTAGAATAAACAATTTTGCTAGCATGATAAATGCTTTATATGAAGCTGGACCTCTTAATATATTCCTTTTATCCTTAGCTTTATACTTGTCGTTTTTCAAGAACCTGTGGGATTAAAGCAAAAGAGCTTAACAAATGTACTTTCAGTCCAAGGTTAGTAAATACGAAACCTAACGGGCAGAGTGCTTTATTAAGGTCTATTGTTATATACATTTTACAAATCTGATTAAGTCGGAGATCCACAGTCTTCTGCAAGCTCTCTGAAATTAATTAATTCGACACTTCCTCAGTATTATTGTATGGACGTTTTGGATATTTTAGTCATTGATGTAGTTTATGGTCGGCAGTTATTAAGACGATAAGATCACATTCGAAGTTAAATCACGATTTTTTTATTTAAATATATTTTTTATATACACTGATGTTGCGCTTTAGGTAATTTAAATTTTCTAGGTTGGAGTGCCGGCCTTGTTTCCAAAAAAAAAAACAAGCCCACTTGAGCATAAATAATGACCCATTGTAATACTACAGGAATAGTATTAGTACTTACATAACTTGAAATTAGTATACAACCAACGTCGAAAAAGGGCACGATTCCACCATTAGGTAAAGGAAAATCAACCTTTGAGTTCTATAAACTTGACTAGGTCCCTAATATTACAGGATGATAGCTAGGTCAGGTCGGTGAGAAAAGGGGCCCCGAAGATTTTTGATCTTATCTTAGCTAAAGAAGAACACTAACGCATGAGATGGAGCACGGTCTCCGCATCATCTTCAGAGCCACAGTCTTGATAAAAATCATTGCAGGGGCGACCAAGTCTCATATCATGCCTTCCTGCTTCACAGTGGCACGTCAGCAAAGATACCGTGGTGCTGAGCAGGTTGAAGCAATTGACTAGTTCGTTTCTTGTCTAAATTTGACCAAGTCAACCTAGATATGTGACAGTGTTGTTCATCAGTATGGTATTGCTTCGCTATGCTCAGGTATTTTTGTTTAATTGCCAGTTTGACTGTAGCTAGTAGCATGCCAACATCTGAGAAGTGAAACTCAGGGACAAGAGCCTCTGCTTTGGCAAGTTCATCCGCCCTGCAATTGCCCGCGATATCCCTATGACCGGGAACCCAAATGAGTTTAACCTTAACAATCCTAGCTAAGTCATTGAGAGCAGCGTGGCAGTTTTGAGTTATAATTAATATGGCTAAACTGCATATCAGTGATCTAATGGCAGCTTGGCTACCTGAAAAGAAATAAATATAAATAAATATAAACCGTAGTGCTTTAAATATTATTCGAGCCGTTCGAAACTTCAAGCATTTTAGTATTCGAATAAGCTTTTACTTGACTATTTCGCTTGAATACAACGAGTCATTAATATCTATTCGAACACCATCTTCGAACATTTGCATAAAAGAAAACAAAGATGAAATGAAGCATAAAGCAAAAAATATGTTTGTGTGAAACAAAATAAAAATAAATAGAGTATAATAGAATAAAAAATAGAAAAAAGAATAAAATACAAATAAGAATAAAAAGAAATACAAAGCAGATTTGCTTTTAAGTTTTTCGAATATCTCGAAAATATTCGAATATTTGAAGTGTTCAATCTAAAAGAACAGATTCGAATATATTTGACTTGAAGTAAATGGATTTCAAAGTAAAAATTGGTGTATTGCATTTTAAAGCATTTTTTATAACTAGACAATCTAAATTCGTTAGACTTTGGCAAAATTTTTATGTTCGAATGCATTTATGCATTATTTTCGAATTTCATGTGCGAATTTCATGTGTGTTATAAAAGGAATAGTAGTGTTGGCAAAAACTTGTCAGTCAAAGTCTGTCTATATAAGTGTAGACTCTGGATAGAATTCGAAAAAGGTGTTAATGGTCGGGAATCAGATTTTCTAACTTGGCGTCTAAAATGGCTAGAGTATGTTAAAATTTTATGTACGATTGCTTATATGTATTTGGAATTTGTATGTGTTAATTATAAAGCTAATGAAGACAGTGTGTAAAACTACGCAGTAGACAAAATTACCGGTACATCCGCGATACTGCATCGATACTTTAGCCATCGATGTTTTATTGAGACTTTTTTGATTAGTTTGTACTGATCACACAATACAATTGTAAGATGGAATCAATATAATTGTGGGATTGAAACAATATAATTGTGTGGTGACATCAATATATTTGCGTGTTGGAAACAATATAATTGTGTGGTGGAATCAATATATTTGCGTGGTGGAATCAATATATTTGCGTGGTGGAAACAATATAATTTTGTAGGGGAATTTTTAACGCTGTTACAAAGCGTCCAAAAGTATCAACTAAAAATTAAGAAATTTAATTAAAAGGTATTTATATATGTGAATAATATATGTATATATTTTATTATTATATTGATTTTAAAATGATAATTAAATTAATATTATATAAAAAGGAAGTAGCATATAGCATAAAGCGATAAATTTCACACATTGGTTCCATAAAGCTGATTAAAGTATCGATGATATTGTGATTCTTTTGGTATCGATGCCACTATAAACTGCTGGATATGTTTATATCGTCACATTAAGTCCGTTTAATATGTCTTAACAAAAAGTGGTCTTCAGACAGACTTGTGTTATGTGTTAAAAAACAGTAATTATATTTAACTTTAGTAACTTTCAGTTAGTTAGTTTTATTAAGAATATTTAAACGAATTTTGTGACTGTTAATCATAAAGACAGTTTTATACTCTGCGGGGTATTAGTTTTTCATCAAAAACTAAAACCCATTGACATCGTGTAAATCGGAAGCAAATATGTACAATAATTATCAAATCCAAACAAAAAATTTTAACTGTCAAAAATATCTTTTCACTTATACAAATAAAAATCTATAATATTTCAGTCTAAAGTTTTTTCTGAAGGGAAAGCACACATTTTTATTCACAATTTAAAAAGCGGTGTCTTGAAATTTAGTAAAGAACTTGACTTTGAATATTACCAAGTAAGTGCCGAATAGTATTCAATAGATAATTATATGGAACATATATAGATATATATGTATATATCTATATAAATATGTATATATCTATATAAATATATGTATATATATATATATATATATATCCTTTAAGAATAACATTTCGTTAGTAAGAGTTTCAATGTTAGCAACTTTGCGGAGTCCGCAATATATAACAAAAATATATGCGGAGTCCGTGTTCTTCAGCGCGATTCCATTAAATTCTTTTAAAGTAACGTTTGAAAAAAAAAAAATAAAAAATATAAAATTTTTGAAATATTTTAACCTTTTCTGAAATTTTTATATAGTTATCCGAGGACGGCTTATGACACTTCTAATTATATACATATTTATATACAAATAAAGATATAATTATAATTATAATGGTATTATATATATATTTGTATATAATTATAATTATATTATATATATGTTATATATATGGCATTGACTGTCAAATAGAGCAAAATTCTAGTCTTATATATATACTTAGAATAAATACACATGTATATGTATTTATGTAAGTATACATATGTGTATTTGAAGGAATAATTTAAATCGATTTACTTTTGACATTTTGATATAAAATGTCTAAAAACTTACTATCTAAAATTATCAGATAAAAATTTTACACAGTTGAGTTCGTTTCGGCAAATTAGTAAGGATATTTTTATTCAGAAAAAAAAAAAAAATCTAATTACATTTTCAAAGACGGTACTTATATATTTCTAACAGTAATGGAGCAGACCTTGGCAACTACACAAAAGTTAATCGAGACTGTGGCGATTGCACTTGAAAGTAAGTTTTTGCATATATAAAATATAATATTTTTTTTTATCATATATTTATATATATATATATATATATATATATATATATATGCATGGTAATTGGCATAATATGTGGTTTAGTGTGGTCCAGAAGTGGTCCGATTTTTGCGTACACTTTTATAATTGCAAAATCGCGGGATCGACCGCGCGCTCACTAGTCAGCAACTTTGGCTCTGAATGCATCGGTTTCCATAAAGTATAATACTATGAATTTCAATGTCCAAAGTAACAGTCTGTCAGAATATCGGTAAAAGCCTATTTTATAACTTCTATGTTCATAAAAAGCATTTCTTCGATAATGTGTAAGTAGCATTGAGCCATTGAATACATCGAATATTGTTATGAAAATCGATACGTATATGTATTATTTTTCAATTAAGTCTACAATCAAAAATATATGTGTTAGCGAGAAGATGAGAGTGTTTGCAAAAATTTTGACATATATCTACATTAATACTCTTGGTTAATCAATTTCAATGTCTCGATGAAAGTGTTACCAAGCCCCACATTGAACCACTGAACCTAACGGCGCTTTGTTCATTGTTCACTTTTGTATCGATAACACATACATAGTGCCATAACACTTGCTTTGCTTTACTACATTAGTAATAGATCGGCGGATTTATGTACTAGTAATTTGTGTGAGCGTCTATTTGTAAAAATATCACAAATAGACGCTATTCGGATTCTTCTATATAAACCACAATATTTTTATGGTAAATTATTATAATGAAATTTGCATATAATTTTTTATATTAGGTCTAATACGCGCAGGTATGGAACACAATTCCCCGGCGACTGGTTCCAATGCTAGTGTTCATCCTGATGCTAATAATATAGCAACGTCGTTTTGGGGTAAGAATTCATCTACCGTTCGTACGGAATTTGAACGTTATTGTGATAAAATGCAACAAAATGGTGAAAATCCCTTTGTTTCTGGTTTGGCGCGTTTTAAGAAGGCAAAGTATGGTACTAACAAGAATGAACGCAGTCAGCCTTCGTTTGCGAATAAAAATGCAGGGGATAGGCACAGACCCGAAACATCAATTGGATCAGTCGGATACAATCCTCTGCATAAAAACTTAGATAGCAGTGTTTATCAACGGCAACAAAATGAAGTTGATAATATACCGAATCGAATTTTGCGTACTAATAAAAATTGCAATGTTCTTCGTGAAAATTCTTCAAAGGTTGAATTTGAAAGGAAACCATTTCCTAAACCTTATGAACGTTATCGAAATGACAGACCCCAATTTTCTAATGCTAACAATCAGTTTGGTCTAGCAAATATTATGAAATCAAAACGTTTTCCAAGAAGTTCAACGAGCATCAATATAAATGGTTCACAGACTTCTGGTTATCGTACTTCTTACGGTGGTGGAAATTTTAGATTCCCTAAGACTAATACACAAGATGAGTCCAACGCTGTCGCAATGCAAAGTAATTCTAATAATGGTCAAACAAGTATTACTGAGTGTCATAACGATAGTAGTCACCAGCGCCTTATCACAAATCAACAGTTTACTGGTATTTATTCAGAACCTAATTAACATAATATGATTTAAGAAAAATTATTAAAACTTTTTAATATTTCAGGTGCTCAAAGTACTGCAACATCGCCAAGAGATTTAGAGAGCAATATTTTTATTGCTGCAAGCAATGCTGGAAGTAGCCGTGATACATCACCACATTCAGGTAGGACTTCCAATAGTATCTCTGATGTTGGAGCTACTGAACACTCGTTAACAGCTTGTAGGGATTGTTTTGCCGCTTGGAATGAAGATGTTTTTAAAAAAAGTGATTTTAAGTATGGTTCACACTTTATGACAGCTGATGATATGAGAGAACGTGCGAGTACTGCTAATAAAGGTTATCGTCTTCATCATCCATATGCTGGGCAAAAGCACAAGTCACCATTGTTAATTCCAATACATAACGAGCCTCTCGAGTTTATGAATAATTTAGGAAAGCCATCCTCTCAACCATCACAGGCTCCCCAATGCAGTACTAATAAGACGCCAGATAGCAATAAGGAGTACAGTTTTCCTGAATTCGATGGTGAGCCGTTTGAGCAATATTCAGTTAATTCAGTAAGTTTTGGTGAACAACATGATTCCTTGCAACGAAATGCTATCGGTTATGAGCGCTCAGTAATAAAGAAACATTTGGAGAGAGATTCAACAAGAGATAAAATTGACTGGTTTTTGGTACCTGATGCTAACCCGGCTAAAGATGGCAAACGAAAGCATCAATTGTTTATAGGAGCTATACAAAACACTGATGAGACAGCACAGCAAAACACTTATGAGACAGCACAGCAAAACACTGATGAGACAGCACAGCAAAACACTGATGAGACAGCACGGCAAAATACTGATGAGACAGCACAGCAAAACACTGATGAGACAGCACAGCAAAATACTGATGAGACAGCACAGCAGAATGCTACTACGAAAGCAAGCCAATCATCAAAACAACCTGCCAATGCGGAAACTACTCAAGAGCATCAGTCATATTCAACTAAGGCCAATCAAAAAGGTATGCCAATTCTCAGTCCATTTGATACTATGAGGTTGCATCTTAAATATCCAATAGCTCGTCTTAATCCTTCACAATTAGTTCAAGAATTCAATACGCTGTATCATACGTCTTCCTCATTTGCAGAACCGAATGCTGAAAAACCTAATAAGGCAAACAATAATACGACTTATGTTCTTAATTCAAACCCAAGTGTCGTTCGTGACAGCCAAACGTGTATGAGGAATTCATTAGGTAATGAATCATGCTATGAAACTCAGCAGTCCTTACATATGCTGGGTACCGATAAAATGATGGAACAGGGTAGTGAACAAAACTTTATTTCTAATCTGAACCAAAATCAAGCTATTCAAAGTGAATATCAATCGTATCCGTTGAATTCAGAAGGACATGAAGTACGCAGTGAACAGCAAGGTCATGAAAATGTATTTAATTCTTACGGTAATAGATTATTCATATCTCCTCAACACCCTAATATACATGCTGGTCAATATCAGCAACATAAACCTAACAATCCTTACTCCTTTGCACATGAACATTACTCATCGTCGCAACATATTGGAAATTTCCCGGATTGTAGCAGTACTCTATTTTTGCAACATGATAATTCTACTACAGGTCATTCTGCACCAGTGGCTGGACATCAACCGCATACTAGTCAACTCAATGCTAATAAGCAGCAAAACTGCCCAAATTTAAAACCTACAGATCATGAGCACCACTTAAGAACCCAAAAATTAAGTTCAAGCCAGGCATCTAGTTTTGAAGGTTTGCAAACACAGCAACAACATTTCTATCCTCCAAACAGTGCCTATACACAGAAAAACTTGTCTTGGAATGATGTTAGCGCTCACGAAAGTACACCAATAAAACAACAGGTAACACCAAACATAAAAGTGCCTTATGAACAGCAATCACGCGCCAATGCTGCAAATAACGATACGAATAAGAAGACTCCAGAACCAGAACCTCAACAAAAAAGTAGTAGTCAGAATCAAAACACTGATACAGATAAATCGGAGGATGGTGTAATTGCATCTGTATTTATTGATGCGAGGAGTGAACCCCTAATGGATAACGCAGTTGGATACGAGCGGTCGATAATATTAGAGGAGTTTGCTAAAGTGACACATGTGCCTTGTAAGAATTGGGTTCTATTACCTCGTCAAATATCTAAAAAAGATTGCGTTCCAGAGCATGAGCTGTTGTTACTTGGTGCTAAAAAAAATATTAAAAAAGAAACGTCTTCAAAACCAAGTAGTTCAAAGCGCTGCCATAATCTGACAGAAGCTGTTCGGAAGTTACTAAGAAATATAGGTAAACAGTATTCTTTTTTAAATAAAAATATTAAATAAAATTTATTTTCATTTTCTCAATAGATGTTTCTGCGAAACGTGATCTTGGTCGAGAAGTTGATTGTGCAAGTATTGTAGACAACTACATGAGAATGCGATTTAATGAAGCCAAAGAAGATACAGAGTTAAATGAGAAGAACAAAACTTCACGTTCCAATACTTCAACGTTACTTAATGTACCGATTTCTGACGACACTCAGTCACAAAAGACGACACAAAATCTGCGCAACAATTGCAATTCAACTGATCATTCGCAAACATCAACATACATCAACCAAAATGTGAATACACCATGTAGTTCAGGTTATGTTGATGTTAATTTCGTATGTCCCCGCCAGGTTGCTAGCCTTCAAAATATTTCAGCAACTCGAAATGTACCAAAAGTTAATACCACACAATCTATGGTTAGTTTGGATTCGCGGGCAAACATAGAGGCCGTTAATAACAGCCCTCATGGTTTCGTTTCGAATCAAAATAGTTTTCGGTTTGGTTCTGGCGTTAATCCGAACTTTAATAATAATAATAATCGAATGCATAACCAAATGCAATCACATATTTCACAAGAATCAAACTACAAACAACAGTTTCCTAATTCGAATTTTAACCAGTTGAATAATTTCAATATGAATCCAAATGAACCAGTTAATTCATCGAATAATAATTTTGATAGACGTTTTCCTCTGCAACATTTGAACGTAAATAATAGTTTTGATCCAACACAAACTATATCATCTCAGCCGTCCCATCCATTTTCACATAATGAGTTTAATTCTAATCCAATGCCTTTACCACTATCGTCAAATCAACGTTTTCATAATGATTCTCATCCAAATCAAAACGTTTCATCTCAATCCTCGAATCACTCTTTACACAACAGTTTCAATATAAATCAAACTGTTGTACCACCATCTTCATATCATTCTGAACAAAATAGTTTTAATACAAACCAAAATGTCTTAAACCATCAGTCTTTTCATAATAACTGTAATCAAAATCAAAATATTTCACCACAGCCGTCTCTCCATAGTTTGAACTTAAATCAGAATACTTTCTCCCAGTCGTCGAACCCGTGTTTATACAATAGTTTCAATAGTAATCAAAATATCCCGCCACAACGTTCGAATGACTCTTTGCAAAATTATTTCAATGCAAATCGAACTACTTCACAACAATCATCAAATCTTTCAAATAATTATTTTAATCAGAATCAGAATCAGTATCCACCACTGTTACCAAATCAGTCTTTACACAATAGTCTAAACGCAAATCAAAATCTATTATCACATCCATCAAACCATTCTTTACATAATGCTTTTAATCCTAATCAAAATGTTCTACCACACCACTCCTTGTATTCCGATCATTCATCTAATTATTCTTTACTTAACGGTTGTAATCAAAATCAAACTGTTTTGCCACATCATAATTTACATAACGGATCCAATTCACATCAAAACATTTTGCAGCAGTCGTCTAATCACTCTGTACAAGATGGCTTCAATATGAATCAGAATGTTCTGTCGCAACCGTCAAATCAGTCGGTACATAATGATTTTGATATGCATCAAAATGTCTTTCAGCAATTGTTAAATCAATCCTTACATAACGGCGTTGATCTAAATCAGAATGTGTTGCCCCAACTGTCGAATCAGACGTCACAGAATGGTTTCAATTTTAATCAAAATATTTCACCGCAGGCATCGAATCTGTTGTTAAATAATAATTTTAATGCACATCAAAGTGTCGCATCGCACTTGTCAAATCAATCTTTAAATAATGGCTTCAACACTAGTCAAAATGATCAACCGCATTTATCAAATCATTCATTACACAATGGCTTTAACACCAGTCAAAATATCGTTCAGCAAATGTCAAGTCAATCCTTGAATAATGTCATTAACACCAGTCAAAATATCGTACCGCAATTGTCAAATCATTCGATACATAATGGCTTCACCACCAGTCAAAATGTCGTACCACAGCTCTCCAATCAATCATTGAATAACGGCTTCAACTTCAGTCAAAATGTCGTACCGCAATTGTCAAGTCAATTTTCACATAATGGCTTTAATACTAGTCAAAATGTCGTACCACAACTCTCCAATCAATTCTTAAATAATGGATTCAACACCAGTCAAAATGTACCGCAATTGTCAAATCAATCTTCAAATAACGGCTTCAACACTAGTCAAAATGATCTGCTGCGCTCATCAAATCATTCATTACACAATGGCTTTAACACCAGTCAAAATATCGTTCAGCAATTGTCAAGTCAATCCATGAATAATGTTTTTAACACCAGTCAAAATGTCGTACCGCAATTGTCAAATCATTCATTACACAATGGCTTCACCACCAGTCAAAATGTCGTACCACAGCTCTCCAATCAATCATTGAATAACGGCTTCAACTCCAGTCAAAATGTCGTACCGCAATTGTCAAGTCAATTTTCACATAATGGCTTTAACACTAGTCAAAATGTCGTACCACAACTCTCCAATCAATTCTTAAATAATGGATTCAACACCAATCAAAATGTACCGCAATTGTCAAATCAATCTTCAAATAATGGCTTCAACACTAGTCAAAATGATCTACTGCGCTCATCAAATTATTCATTACACAACGGCTTTAACACCAGTCAAAATATCGTTCAGCAATTGTCAAGTCAATCCATGAATAATGTTTTTAACACCAGTCAAAATGTCGTACCGCAATTGTCAAATCATTCATTACACAATGGCTTCACCACCAGTCAAAATGTCGTACCACAGCTCTCCAATCAATCATTGAATAACGGCTTCAACTTCAGTCAAGATGTCGTACCACAGCTCTCCAATCAATCATTGAATAGCGGCTTCAACTCCAGTCAAAATGTCGTACCGCATTTGTCAAGTCAATTTTCACATAATGGCTTTAACACTAGTCAAAATGTCGTACCACAACTCTATAATCAATCCTTAAATAATGGATTAAACATCAGTCAAAATGTCGTGCCGCAATTGTCAAATCAATCTTCAAATAATGGCTTTAACACCAGTCAAAATGTCGTACCACAACTTTTTAATCAATCCTTGAATAACGGCTTCAACCCCATTCAAAACGTTGTTCCGCAAATGTTAAGTCAATCTTTACATAATGGCTTTAATACTAGTCAAAATGTTGTACCACAACTCTCCAATCAATTCTTAAATAATGGATTCAACACCAATCAAAATGTACCGCAATTGTCAAATCAATCTTCAAATAATGGCTTCAACACTAGTCAAAATGATCTACTGCGCTCATCAAATTATTCATTACACAACGGCTTTAACACCAGTCAAAATATCGTTCAGGAATTGTCAAGTCAATCCATGAATAATCTTTTTAACACCAGTCAAAATGTCGTACCGCAATTGTCAAATCATTCATTACACAATGGCTTCACTACCAGTCAAAATGTCATACCACAGCTCTCCAATCAATCATTGAATAACGGCTTCAACTCCAGTCAAAATGTCGTACCGCAATTGTCAAGTCAATTTTCACATAATGGCTTTAACACTAGTCAAAATGTCGTACCACAACTCTACAATCAATTCTTAAATAATGGATTAAACACCAGTCAAAATGTCGTGCCGCAATTGTCAAATCAATCTTCACATAATGGCTTTAATACTAGTCAAAATGTCGTACCGCAACTCTCTAATCAATCCTTGAATAACGCCTTCAACCCCATTCAAAATGTTGTTCCGCAAATGTTAAGCCAATCTTTACATATTGGCTTTAACATTAATCAAAATGTCGTACCACAATTCTCTAATCAATCCTTGAATAATGGATTAAACACCAGTCAAAATGTCGTGCCGCAATTGTCAAGTCAATCCTTAAATAATGACTTCAACGCCAGTCAAAATGTATCGCAATTGTTCAGTCAATCTTTAGATAATGCCTTCAACCGCAGCCAAAATTTTGTATCGCAATTGCTCATTCAATCTTTAGATAATGGCTTCAACCGCAGTCAAAACGTTGTACCGCAATTGTCAAGTCAATCCTCAAATTATGGATTCAACCCCAGTCAAACAATCGTACCGCAGGTGTCAAATCAGCCTTTGCATAGTGGCTTCCATCGAAATCAAAATGTGACACCACAACCTTTAAATCAAACATTCTGCAAAAATTTTAATTCAATTGAAAGTGTCTTGCTACAATCATCGAATGACTGTTTGAATAGTAATTATGTTGAGCTTGATCCTAACATTACCCGTAATGACTCTCAGGTAAGTGTTATTTGTGTAAACCAATTGGCTGTCAAAAGTATTACCAAATAATTTCTTAATATCACTTCACTTGTTATAGCTGAATGTTGGTAGCAGAATCTTCGGCAGTCAAAGTTTATCAACAGTCAACTGGTCTGAAGAGAAAAGTACCCATGTTGAAGGTAACAATATAATTGATTGCTTTCAGAGGGCCCACCCAGAATTATCAAGTGATCTTCCTGTCATTCGCTCCTCAATTGCAGGAAGCAATTTAAATTTTGGTGGTCGTCCTGAAAGTAACATAATAGATACCTCGTTGCAGCAGTTATATCCGCAACCGTCAACTAATTTTAGAGCAGGTCTATCATCATCTAATAGAACTAATATGGCATTTGAGCGCCATTTTGAAAGTAATAACATGATTGAAAATTTACCGCTGTCTCATCAAGCTTCATTAACCGAACTTGGAGGCGTTGGCCCTACAACTGTAAGAAATAATTTTGTGTTTAGTGCTGGAGTTACGGACATCATAGTTAATGATTTTCAGAACGTACGTTCACAAACTGCAACGGCGCGTGGTGTAATTACACAAGCGGCCATGGGAAATAATATAATATTTAGTGGTAATGTTGAATATAATATATCCAGTAATCTACAAAATACACACACAATCTCGTCAAGTATTTGTGGTATCATTGGTCCATTGAATGCAGTCAATCCCGGTGCTAGCGGTAACAATCTGGTCAACACATTTCATAATTTGCATTCAGTTGCCTCAGAAAATATTGGAAATAGTCTTGTGTACAGTAATCAAGATAACAATAGAACAAACACTCTTCAGGACTTGCGATCAGCTGTCTCAAATTCTTGTGAGGCCATTACTTCAGCAAATGTTGGAAATGGTCTTGCTTTCAGTGTTGAAGATACTAATTTAGGCAACATATTGCAGCATCAACACCCAGTTTCTTCAACTACTCATAGTCTCCTCACATCAGGGAATGTTGGAAATAGTATCGCGTTTGCAGCGGGAGATAATAACTTGGCTAACACTCTTCAACACTTTCGTCCAATAATAGCTAATACTTTTCAACATTTACGTCACGGCGTTATAACATCGATGAATACTGAAAATGGTAATGTGTATCTTTCAGAAGCTAATCACAAGACTAATAATCTTCAGCAATTTTTTCAGATTCATCACTAAATGTCACAAGCGGTATTGTGTTTGGAGCTGGCGACAACAATATTGGTAACATACTTCAAAATTTGCACTCAACTTCCACAACTGCTTGCGATGTCATCACCTCAGCAACTACTAGAAACAGTGTTATGTCCGGTGCTAAAGATAACAATAAGACCAGCAACTCGCAGCATTCATCTCCAATTTCGTCAACAGATCATGCTGTTATTACCTCAGAGAATGCTGCAAATAGTGTCATGTGCGCTCCTGAAGACAATGGAATGGCTAACACACTTCAGCACTTAAATGCTAGTACATCAACTGCTCAGACTTCCTCAGTGAATGGTGGTGATTGCAACATGTCTGGAGTTTGTGATGAAACTGAGCAAAAACGTGATGATTGTACATCATTACCAAAATCTGCTCAATAGATTTCAAAATTAATTATTGTACTTTAATTCTATGTATAAAAATTAAATGGATAGATCTAATAGAATCTTAATGTAAAGAAAATTTAGAATGACAAAAACATATTTTTAAGTATCTGTAATTATGCGTGCTAGAAGTCTATTAATACTTTAAAAGTAATTGCGATCAAAGATATAAGCAATATAACATATACATATTTGTATTTAACCAGCGCGTCACACATATGTTATACTTACTTAAAAATATAGTTTTTGACTAAGTAATTATGTAATAAAAGATCTTGAAATTTATTAACGGCCCTTGTTATTTTTCTAGTCCTTTAGCTTGGTATTTTAGCGTATTTAATGTTTTATATTAGTACTAAAATATAAACGATCTTAATTGTCACAAAGGTGTCCGACTTGTAAAAGAATGATCTATATTCATTTTCACTCTCTCAAAACTACCAAATACAACAACAGTTACTTATATGTTATAAGTGTTCATTTTATAGTCTAATGGATCATTTTAATTGATATAAATATAATAACACTTTAAAGACTTTATATATATTTCTTGCCGCCTCCTCAGAAGATAGCCACTCTGATCTGTCTCTGAAGAGGCGGGAAAATAAATTACGACATAATGTGAATCCTACCAAGACAATAATACGAAATGTATGTATTTGAAATATAATTTTATTTATATTAATAGAAATGTTTAATTAATGTTTTAAATAAAGTAAATTAAAGTATTTGAAAAGGATAAATGTAATTCAATATTAAAAAGTTTTCTTCTAAACGCCAAACCAGACCCACTAGATGAAACTCGCAGTTGTTTAGTTGACTTTATCGGGTTTTAACTTCCGAAGCACTGACTTTTAAACGCTAACTCATTGACTGATAAGGTGTCTATAAAAATAAATTTTAAATATTTATATAAACATATAATTTTATGTAAAAAACAAATTTCCATATACTTGGTCAACAATAGGGTTTATTTTTACATCATCAACATCATCGATCAATGGATATTTAAACTCTTCAATGGAACTGTTAATTCTCATTCTAGTCTTAGCGTACTTTATCTCAGCCATCTTATGTTTCTTACTAAACTCGTGCCGTATACGGTAAAACCCATACCTTATGTTGATAATACGATCGCAAGCAAAGCAGTATGCAAAGGGTCCACTTAAATGTTCAAACCACTCGTACTTGTCTTCCCATTTTTTCCATAAGAAGTCCAGAAATCTTGGTACACCAACGACCTTGGTGCCTGATCCATAATCAGTAACATTTGGACTGTGAAAGAAATATATATATATCAATTGTTTAAAAAAAATTGTTACTTTCTTTTCTTACTAGATCTTTAAATATTCCAAATAAACTTTCTCGTGTTCCATGTGAGATGATGAGCGGCTGTGTGGCAAAAAGTATTGCCGGGACACTTTCTTGTCACAACACTTACAATACCAGCCTTTTATAGTTGAATAACCAACCCATATATATGTTTTTCTTTTGGGTTTAATACTTTCGCATTCAATTTTTTCAATTTGGAATAAATCGGTTTGCCTACAAAGTAGAATTACAAACAAAAAAGATATGAAATACAAATTATTTTCTGGAATGAGCTTAATGTTTAGATGGTAATTATATTGAAATCTAAACTAATCAAACAATACTTAATATAATTTAAGTTACTTAAGTGTATATATAGTTAGTGTGTAAAGATAAAACTATTTTTAAAGTATTTATGACTAACTGATATTTGTATAACCATTTGTTGGCACGTAGCCAGGGACGAGGCTTGAGCACTTAAGCCCTTCGAATTGAGGCGCTAAGTTATATGTACTACTAAGATATATTTTCAGCCATTATAGTTTGAGTGCTCATGCTATGATTTTGATTTAATGGGATCTTGTAAATGAAGTGATCAGCCTTTTATCGAAAATATAAAGGATTTTTTTAAAAAATGTTCGCTTTTTAATATATGTACGAATATATATGCACGAATTACAATAAAAATAATTTAGCGGTTGACTAGTACTGCAATCGGACAATTTTAAGAACTTAATTGTCGTATCAATAAAAGCTGAAATTGTTCCATTGAAAAAATATGTATAAAAGTATAAAATGGTGCATAACACTTGAGTTGATCTTAATCTGAAAACTAAAATGAGTTTTAAAAGATATGGCTTGGTCTATACTATAGAAATGCCATTGACCTATTGTAATTTATGAACCGATTTATACAAAAAGATCTGTTAGGCATCTATTAGACCTAACATTACATTAACGGATGTTAAACGTGCTGGATATTGGTATACAAGGTATTTCAGGTTTTGTGAGATGCTTAAATCTATATGTGTTCTTTATACATAGGGGTATGTGTGTTTGTTTTTTGTAGTGCGGGCGTCGACCGCCTTAGCAGTCCGAGTATCAACGAATATTGCAACTGAACAAAAACTAAGAATTTATCCACACAAAGGGTCTGTAGACTGAAATGCTCTAATTGCTCTAAATAGTTTCACTTTAAATTTAATATTTAGTATATAACACTCACATTATAGAAATTATTTCACTGCTTGACTTATAGAACAGATTAAACCAAGTGACGCCAAATTCTTTTACTTTTTTTCTTCTTCATCATCTTATTCTTCGCCTTCACCACGTTTTTTTTACGAATAATTTGACAACACTTACCTCAGTTATTCAGTGTTGCAAATGATTCTTATTTCTAATATTGCAACAAAGTTGAAGACGTTTTTGAGGACATTTTATCATCTGAGCAATATGATTTGGTTTGATTTTTAAGTATGATGATTGTGCCATGTAATCGCGTATTTATACAGCACAATAACCTCTTGATTGTTTTCTTATTGTTTTTCTAAGGAATATCAAAGTTAGCGTATTAACCTGTTTGAAATCAGTAAGCAACCTAAAAATTTTACGAATAAATCCGTTCACTGTCCACAGTGTTTTTGTTTATCTGTCGTTAGTAATGCAAGTGACTTGGTGCTTTCTACCGCCTCTATTTGTTCTGTAAAGAAGATATTTAACATTTATTAATTAATTGAATTTTTGGATGATCAATTATGTAGCAGTTTTAAGTTTTATCAAATATCCATCACCAGTCGGTTTGGAATATAAATTTCTTATATATAATTATTCGTAAGTAATATTTTAAGACTGCAAGGACCGCGGGTTGAATTTATACGCTGCCGAATGCAGAACAAAAAAAATGACTGCTATGATTTCGTAGCAGCCAGAAGTTGTAAAACAATTAAGGCATACAAAAGTATTAAGGCATTAAACACTAATGTATATACTGTTCCTCTGGTAGGTTTAAAGATAAAGTGTATAAAGTTAAAGAACACACTAAATAGTTCATTATTAAGTTGCGTGCTCGAGTTTTTAGTTGCTAATTTTAAATACTTAATATAAATTTTATATGATCACATTAAATTTCATTAATGATTTAATTTTATTTGATTTATTAAATTAATAAAAAGAAGAACTTGATATTTAATTGCATATAATAATATAAAAAACATAATAAGATATTAAACATTACTTCATGCCATAATTGTTACTATAGGGCAAAGTACTGTCTTTACTACCGAACATACTAACAGCATTTACACTAACAATAACTATGGTTGCGCTACTGCTGGTGCTTACTCACCTCATAATTTATTTGTCTGTGCTCAGAGTTAGTGTTAGAATTTTTTTTGATTGTAGTTTGGCGTCTTTCATAAAAAATCTATTTAAACGATAAAAACTAGTTTTCTTAAAACTAATTTTCCTTGGCTTTAACGTCGCCAGTAAATATAAAATATATAAAAATATGTAGCTATTTAAAAAAATTTTTAGAAAAATGATAAAATTCAAAATCAGAATAATTATATATTATCTTATAAGGACATTATAAGATTAAAGATAATCATATAAGTAATTAAAAAATGAACACATGCGGGTATTAAGCGCGTATTACACATTAAATTTGGTCGTACAACTTAACCGACGTCGCTCGCTATTAAGGTCTGTTGAAGTGTGAAATTTGTGCCAAATCTATATATGAATATATATATCTATATATTAATAAACATGTATCTATATATGAATACATATACATATGGTATATATATACATATATTAGTTTTAGATTAGATTTTAAAACGGCTTGGAAAATTGTCACCATGCCACTGCATCCTTTAAGGATTATTGTGACATACTCACTTTAGTTCTATAAACGAGTAGCAGTTAAGAATGCCATTATGTCCTTTAAGGAGATGTTGGCTAATTCCGTTATATATACATAACATACATACATATGTATTACAGATTTCTTTTTTGTTGCATATTGTTTGTACATGATAAAAACTACATGGCAACGCCATTGATTTCCTTTACTTTTTTATAGTTGCCGCTTTACGATCCGTCTATTTTGCCGAGGCGTTGATTGTAGTAATATATAGTAAGACGTCGTATATAAACAAACCTATAATAAATCATATAATTTTTATAATAATTTATAATAATTTATATATAGTTTAATTAATATATATATTTTTAAATTATTAAATGTAAAATTAATAATAAAATTTAAAATAAAATTTTATTTTAGAGATTACGTTTACACCATTTGTCGAAAAATTGGTCAATTAAAAACCTTACTCACAAAAATATACAGGCAATGATGGAGAATTCAAATAGGAAATATTTTAGTGGTCGCTATGCACAAACATCCACACCCCCCAGTAAGTTTGTAATAGTCTTCAATTTGTTTATTTAAATATCTTTATATCTTTATCTTAATATTTTTATGTAGGGTCAAGACCAAATCCGTATAGGTCTCAACAGCGCGCTGCTGACAAGAAAAGCGAAACAACCAAGGTAGTCGATTACGCTTTGCACGCAGCAAGCGGTTGGCCAATACACGGCAGTCGTGGTTATTTTAAAGCTGCCGAAAATTGTGCAATGGGTGGCTCTTTTGATGGATTCTTCAGAGAAGCTGAAAACACTACAGAAAATCGTTCAAAATACTTTGGACCAGGCGGTTTAAATGTATACGATGATGAAGATAAGTCTGGCAAGCAAAAAAGTGCACCATCACCATCACCATCACCTCAAATGGGTTGTGGAAAAAAATTTCGTAATGCATCAAACCAATATGGCAATAAGGTAAATATACAATTAATTCAAATTCTTATATTCCACCTAATGTGCAACTTTGCAGGAGTCGCCACCCAGACATTACACTGTGAAAAATTATTTAGCGAAGCGATAAAAACAACAATTTTGTCAACTACTGAATAAAAATAAAAATTAAAAGAAATCAATAGTTATTTTTTAACTATTAATTTGGTATTGCTTAATTTAATAATGTCTTTTATCAAAAAAGTGATAAAAACTATAGACAATAAGTCGGTCGTGAATGCGCTCATGCTTTCTTAGTAGCTAGGTCAAGGGCTACATGATCATTTTGTTTCCAATGTAAAATCTCTGACTTGGTACACTGAAGCAAATCAGAAGTATCTACATTAATAACTGTTTTTACAGGGCATTGGTCTATAGAACGGTATGAGGTCGTGCTCGGTCTTACAGAGCGAGCTATTAGGCCCTATAGTATCTCTATAATATAGTATAAAATCTTCTGCTGCATATATCTATCGGTGCTCTAGGACAAGACACCGGAACACCTGTTGTGTCTATGTTCAGGCTTGTTCAGATCCAGGCTTTAGTTTTTGGCTAGCCACTTCCTTAATACACACAGCGATATTTCACTTTATTCTATAAATGCTTCAGGTTGATTCTAACATGCCATTCTATGTCACCGTCCTTCTGTACAGTTTTATGAGAAGTTATGGAACCACTTTCTTAGCTTTCTTAGCTAATTGATGAAGAATGTTTCCTTCATAAACTTTACCTAACCTAACATAACCAGCAACAAGGAGTAGCCACGGAACTCCACGAACTTTGACAATTAGCGAACTTCTAAAATATATTATATATTGCATATAAGTATATTTAATGAGCTTAATGACTGGATTTTTTTTGGAAAAACTTTGTCTTGACACCTTATTTTTTGAAATCAGACCCCCATTTTTAGTGATAAAATTTTTTAGATTATTAGACGAAAGAGATAACATTTGCATTTATTGTGTTTTCTTAGGAGATATCTTGATACAGGATAAACCCATATACCCATAATGGTCTGTTCTATCAATATGCAAAGATCTTTTAGTTGTCACTTTTTACTCGGATTATTAAAATTGAACAGATGTAAGGAGTTGCTTGCCGTTTCCTTAAGTAAAAATACCATATCGTTAGTAAATAAAAAGAACGTAGTTATGAATCAGTTAAAAGTCGTTTTGCCTATATTTGAAGCAGATTAACAGATTTTGTATTTATATTTTTAAAATCTTGAAGGCGAAGCTATAACAATAAAACACATACTTTAATAATACCTAATGAAACCAATATTTATTTGAAATTATAATTATTTCATATTATTAGTAATCACAAGTCGTATTCTATATGTTCGTATTATTTTATATAAGAAACTTAACATCAAATTTAAACAGCTTGAGCAAAACCAATACGACTATTACCCATATCAAATTCAGCATAATATTTGCCAAGGAACACATCACCCAAAATCCAGAATGATGTTCCGATAGTTTCAAATCCAGACATACAACCACCATCGGTATCAACAATATAGTCAGAGGGCGCAAGGCTCATTTGTGTGCCTCCAATATTCAAATACATAGTAGGCAAGCTAGAAATTGAGCTGCAGTCGACGAAGTATTCACCCATCTCATTTGGTTGAGCACCAATGGCATTCTGTACAGATTCATATACACCATAAGGTACTGCAATCAAGCTAGTGCCAGTATCAGCAATTGCTTGACAACCCTCACAAACTGTTACACCATTGACGGCTATCGAGTTAACACTGAATTCCCAGTAGGATTCACTAGAAATGGGTACATAAGTCATAGCGCCAGTGTAGTATGATGAGTCAGTACCGCCAAAAATTAGTTCACCACCATTAGAACTTGAACCAGCACGAGCCAAATAAACAGAAAATACATTAGAGTCAATAAGATTTTGTGACCACATATTGTAGAATGGTGGTACAACATTGTCCTGTGCTATTGATTGATAAGCCAAACCGAATATGCCATCGAATACTGCATCAACAAATGTAGAACCTGGTTCTGAAGTAGCAGCACCAAACGTTTGTCCAGTTATACTCATGTCTCCAATGGTAACAGTATCTTGTACGAGATATCCTGATAAACTGCCAGTACCATAAGCAATGGAGAAGCTTTCTCCATTATATACGTAGGTGCTTGAAGCGCTACCGTCGTATTTATTATGATTTTGGCAAGCAGTATCACTGCTTGGACAAGAGCTTGATGGTACCCATAGATTTGAGGAGCCGGTATCAAAAATTACTGTAAATGTTTGTGCGGGTGTACCAATCCCAATCGTGCCATAATATGACATATCCTGATAATTGGATAATTGCTCTGGGGTGACTGCCAATGTATTTGTGCCATATTTACTACTCAACACCGCTACCTCGGAACGTAGATTGCTCAGTTTTTGTTGGCCAACATTTGATTTCTTCAGTGGGACACGCACCAGGGCGGCTTCTGCAACCAAAGCTACACTCAAAGCAACTACTAACAATTTCAGCATTTTTATAACTGTTTATTAAGTTTAATAAATTTGTTTACAGCAAATGACTTTTCTGTAATGAGGCTTACCTACGAATAGGTGACCCTTTTATAGATCGTTTATTACTATTCTTGTTTTTTTTTTTTTTTTGAGTTCTTCATTTAAACAAAGGCATTTCGTGTTATCGTCGTGTGTTAGCTTAAGTGCGCAGCTTATGGCTGATGATTGGCAATAGGTGAATAGTCGCTTGAACTGATAAGTAGGTAATGTGTGCAATTAATATCTCTAAGTCAGTTCTCTACAAAACTGCACAAATGCAATTATAATTATATTATAATATAGAAAAAAATATATATTTTTATCTAGAACTAAGCGGTCATTGCCAGTGCCGGAGACTTAAGTATGTGAGGCAGTCAAGTATTGACACTGCACTTCGCTGGATAGTAGTGCACATGAAAGAAAGTTACATAAATTAATAATAAATCAAGTAGAAATAATGTATAGTGGTATGTATACTCTTTATCTCAAAATTCATAATAGCTTCTATATACATATATAAATGTGCATAAGAAATTATGATTACCCTCCATACAAAAAGTGAAAACGATATATTATAGATCTATACGTATATGCCATTAACTTAAATAATACTAAATCCATAAAATTATATTTTAATTTTCGATATTTGTAAATAAAGATAAAATAAAATACAAATATATATGCATATTTCAACTGTTGGCTCTCAGATCACTGTAGATCCGAGAAATTAATAAAACCAGTCCACTGACGAAAAAATTGTCTTGTTAAAAGCACATATCACCCACATTGCTTTCTTAAACAAAAAAAATTGAGAATCATGCAAACGACATTAACTATTTATGTCACATCTTTATCATTATTGAAAAGTATAAGTCTATCATACACCCAGGGATAATATCAAATCATCTGACTCCATACTCATGTTTCGAAAGCAACTCGATACTCATGTTTCACGCAATATTTTTGTCAAGAAACAATTAGACTACAATATATCAGTAGTCATGGATGGTGTAGGAGCATACTTTCTCATACTTTGGAGACATAAATCACTCACTTCAAAACCACAGTTTTTAAATTTAAAACGTCCATAAAAGCTCTAAAACTCTTCATCATAAAATCAAAGTCAGAGTGAATGCAAAGTGAAAATGGGCGAACTTAACCGACTAGCTGATATCGCTCTTATCTGGATTTCCGAACATAGAAATATTGATGATAATGTGAAAGCAAACGGTTTTATCTGCCTTATAGTTTCTCTGAGCTTGTTCTTATGGATTCCAGGTAATGTTCCACTTGCCATCGTTTGGAGAAGTACCTACCTCTACTTCTTTAGCTTGCCAATAATAAATAGTAGACATTTAAGTCATCAGTTATTTCTCGAAGAACTTGAGTTTCGAAACACATAATCAGGTTTTGAGAACTCATTAAAAGGAACCGCGTTATTAATGCAAGGCTTACTGTAGTTCTCTATTGTCGCTGATGTATTTGAATCTATGCAGAAAAAGTGTGAATTACTGCTATTATTCACTGTTCAAATTGTGGATACTTTAAAGAAAAGAAATAATTATAAGAATAAAAGAAAGACAAATTATTAGAAGGAACAGCTTTGATTGTTCATTGAGATTCACTTAATTAACCAGCTAATCATTACACTTCTAAACCAAATGGCGCATTAGACAGTAATGCAATGGTTTTTTGACAATTACTTGTGGACATTCACTGCTTCAAATGTGAAATCTTATAAATTGCTTTATTGATATATCTACTAAGCGAAAATTTTCAGCGACTCATCACTAAAGGAAATTCTATGAGCAAAATCCTTAGAAAAAATTTTTTTGTAGTAAGTTAAATCCATTTGACCACGTTAAGCGGTTGCTAAACGATCTATAATGGAACATCTTAAGATAATCGCTTATAACTCTACTAATTGTGCCACAATAAATACAAAACACTTTAATAATATATATATAAATCATAAATAAATAATACCAAAATTATATACTAGATAATTACTAGATAATACTACATATACTAGATATTATGATTGTACTAGAAAATTGATTTATTGACATTTATATGTAAGGTATAAGAATGGTGGAGAAGACAAACCCAACTTTATAATTTTTTAATTTTTTTATTTTACTTAAGCATTATAATCATCAACTTATAAAAAGTAATTAAGGAATCAGACTATAGAATAAGTGGTTTCAAAGAAGACTTCTGATAAATATTTACGTACTTTATGTGGTAATGCTAATAATATTACACAATACTTAAGGTTTACATTTACTTCCAAGTTATATAAATGATATTAGGCACACGCTGTAGTTATTTGAAAGATATTTGTAACCCAGGTTTTTATCAAATGTTCATAATTATAAATATTATTTAAGCGATAATATTCATAGATACATTTCCACCGAATTATCTACGTTTTTTGGATGCACGAGTGTTTCCGCGCCGTCAGATAAAGCAGTTTGATCCTCATACAAGTTATCTAAAAATATATATCATTCTATTTTTTTTTATTATTATTTATATAAAATTATCTCTTAAAATATTTTTGTTTAAAAGAAAGTTTCACTTAGTTTTCTTCTTTTCTTATTATGGAAAAAATGGGAAGGCAAGTACGAGTGGTTTGAACATTTAAGTGGACCCTTTGCCTTCGATCGTATTATCAACATAAGATATGGGTTTTACCGTATATGGCACGAGTTTAGTAAGAAACATAAGATGGCTGAGATAAAGTACGCTAAGACTAGAACGAGAATTAACGGTTCCATTAAAAAGTTTAAATATCCATTGATCGATGATGTTGATGATGTAAAAATAAACCCTATTGTTGACCAAGTATATGGAAATTTGTTTTTTCCATAAAATTATATGTTTATATAAATATTTAAAATTTGTTTTTATAGACACCTTATCAGTCAATGAGTTAGCGTTTAAAAGTCAGTGCTTCGAAAGTTAAAACCCGATAAAGTCAACTAAACAACTGCGAATTTCATCTAGTGGGTCTGGTTTGGCGTTTAGAAGAAAATTTTTTAATATTGAATTACATTTATCCTTTTCAAATACTTTAATTTATTTTATTTCATATATTTATATATATATATATTTCATATATATATATTTCAAACACATACATTTCGTATTATTGTCTTGGTAGGATTCACATTATGTCGTAATTTATTTTCCCGCCTCTTCAGAGGCAGATCAATTGCTATATTCTGAGAAGACGGCAAGAAATATATATAAAGTCTTTAAAGTGTTATTATATTTATATCAATAAAAATTTTCACGGCTGTTCAAAGTACGGCATGCATGAATATTTATGAAATTCATAGATGAAGTGGGTCATTTGAAAGTTGAAAGGTTTGAAAGGACTATGTAACCATTAAATTATATTGAAAAGGTTTAACAAAACAATCACATCCTATAATGTTATAGTGAATATTTATCAAAAGTATTTAAACCAACATTGGAAGTAGAAAGGTTATTAAAAATAAATATTTGCATATATATTTATGGATTAAAAAATTTATTAAAAAAAGTCATCCTAGATATGGGAATAACATATCTAAATAATAAGAAAACGATATAAACGATATAAGAAATTAAGTGATAATTTAAACAATTTATATTTTCAAATTCTGACTCTGAACTTTAAATTTGGTAGGGCAAGTTCAACCTTTGGTACTTGCAGTCTTTGAAAATTATGTATGAATAATTAAGTATAACTCATGAAGAGGCAATAAAACATTGTAAAGTAGGTTTGTCGAAGCAATAGGGCTTAAAGACACGCTCTAAACCTAGAAGGGCGCACAATAGGCTCGACTGTCGTAGTATCATATTCCATATTAATAAAAATAATAATAATATATATAAAAAATAATATCATGAACACACAATGATTATCGATATTTGGCAGCGCTTGAAACAGCTGTATGGTCAAAAATTCAATTAATTAAAAATAATGAAAATTTTTGTTGCAATTCATTACTGTTCGATAAAAATTATTCGCAAGATAATAAGGTTTGATAAACACAAACTTAGGAAAAGAATTTAGCAAAAATATATACAACATATATATTTATTATATACATTTATATATTTTCTGCAAAAATTATAAAATAACTTTTAAAAATTATTTTGAACCGATTTAATTATGAGAATATATTGAAATTTATAATAACGGTTTTTTGGTTGTATCTCTTGGTTCGGTGAAGTATTATTGAAATTCGGTAAATATTGAAAATGGACTGTTTCCCATACGATTTTGTTTTTATTTGTCAAACCTTAAATTAAGTTACGAACGATACGAAACAATACGAACCGGTAAAGACAATACAATCTGGTCGCTACATGCTCTGGGGATCTGTCTGTACATGGAGGACAAAATTTAACTCTATTAATGAGTAACAATATCTACCCCAATATTGTGAGATATGTGCTTGATTCAATTTTATTACACAGTAAATAATTATTAAATAATTATTAATTATAATTAATTGATTTAAAAATTCTAAACTTATTCAAATTTAAACATACGATATAATTCTATTAGTTCAAACAAACTTCAAAAGCAAAATTTAATAATGTTTATCGCAACAAATTAATTTATATTATTAATTAAAAATTAATTTCACGACACTTAAAAAGTTTTTGAATTAAATTTATTCATATAAAAAATCAAACAAATTCGTAGGCAAATTGTTTAAATAGATTAGGCAACTGGGGCGAAACCAACGCGGTTATTACCCAAATCGAATTCGGTATAGTATCTACCAATGAAAACATCACCCAAGATCCAAAAGTCTGTACCCAAATAGGTGATACTGGACATACAATAAGTTTCACCATCATTTTGGACACCCACAATATAATCGCTGGGTGATAGATTGAAAGTGGTGCCACCAATAACAAAGCTAAGATCGGGCAATTCACTGACTGTCGAACAGTCAACAAAATATTGACCATCTGAATTAGCGGAGCCACCAATGTATTCGTTGAAGTAAGTATAAGCACTGGATGGAGCTACAATCAAACTGGTGCCAGTGTCGGCAATAGCTTGGCAGCTATCGCACATTGAGTTACCATCAATGGAAGCTGAATCCATGGTAAATTGCCAGTAACCTTGTTCAGAGACAGGTACATAAGTTAAATCACCAGTATAGTATGTTGAGTCAGAACCACCGAAAATCAATTCACCACCGTCGGTAGCAGATCCATCACGTGCCAAGTAAAATGAGAAGACATCAGCATCAACTAAACCTTGTGAATACATATTGTAGAAAGGTGGTACAACGCTATCGACGGCAATTGATTCATAAGCCATGCCGAAAATACCATCAAAATTGGAATTGACAAATGTGGTACCGGGCTCGTTAACAGCTTCTCCAAAAGTTTGACCAACAATTGAGAGTCCCTCAACAGTCACGGTATCGGTGGATAAGAAACCAGTCAAACTGCCAGTACCGTAGGCAATAGAGAAACTTTCACCATTAGAAACATATGTTGTGGAAGCGGAAGAATCGTATTGGTTATGATCCTGGCAAGCAGTGTTTGTGGTTGAGCAGGTGTTAGATGGCACCCATAAATTGGATGAACCGGAATCAAAAAGCACAACAAAATCTTGGGCTGGCGTTCCAATTGTGATTTTACCATAGTATTGCATATTCATATTGTTGGAGAGTTGTTCTTCAACACTGCGGGATGTACCAAGAAAAGCATTGTATCTGGAACTCAACATGGAGAGTTCAGCCAACACATTTTCGTGTGTTTTGACAAAGTTTTCGTGTTTGTAGATGGGAACTCTGTGAAGATCAGCGCTGACTGCAGCGATCACCGCAAGCAATACCACAAATTTGTACATTTTGGCTGAAAGCGTAAGAAAGCCATACGTATTTTTTTTAATATTTATTATAAAAAAACAAAGCTAAAAAATTTAGATTTTTTGAGGAAATGAAAATTTGCTTACCAGTTATAATTTTGTTCTAATTGTGCTAACCAAAAAGACACAATTAATGGGTATAAAGCCATTTGGCTTCTATTTATACTAAAAATCGCCAAACTTTAATATCTTCCTTTTATTTATTGTTGTTGTTGTTAATCATTATGAATAATTGTGATTTTATTTTGTTTACAAACTTTTATCGAAATTTCTCTTTATTTTGGACATTTAAGCGTTATCAACTCCAAACGCTTTTGATACTGACGATTTCGAGCAGCTTAACAAGTGCGATCGATTACTCCATAATCTAGCAATCAGTACTGACATTCATGAGGAATATTTTATTTGATTTTACTACGAAATTGAATGTGATCGTTAATCAGTTTTTGGGTTTTTAGTTTTGAGAGATCTGCTAAAAAATTTAATGTCATTAACAACTGCTTGACATACTTAAGGACATTGCGCGTTATACGTCAGAGTATACAGAAGGTAATGATAATAGCGAAGCAATTTTATTAGATAAGACGTTATGTTTTGTACATTTTAATGTCAATTTGACATATCCGCTACGATTATTTTACTATAAGTCTTTAATTACTAAAATCTAAAAGAGTTTACATTATTTATATATTTTTATGATGGGCATGGGCATGAGTGTGAAGGGAAAAGTACGCCCACGAATCACAAAACAAATACACTTCAAGCTTTTTCGTTAGTGAATAATGTTTTCGCATGCGAAGAGCAAAGCGAAAAATGTTCTTACGATCATGAAAAAATTGAGTTTGTGAACAAAGTATTTGCATACGAAGAATTAAGGTGCGAAGGAGAATGAAAGTATTTGCATACGAAGAATTAAGGTGCGAAGGAGAATGAAAGTGGGTTCCCTAACCGAAAATGGCTTTTGTTTAAAGTACACAATTGCAAATCAAATTCACTCAAAAATTTCCATCTCCGAACAAATTGTTCCCGTGTGATGAGCGAAGAGAAAACTGCATTTACATACTGGAAATTGCTAATGTTAAATGTACGTGATCGCACAATTATGTGATATTAATAGAAACTATATATTACATATATATTGAAATATAATATATATACATATACATATATATATATATACATATATATATAAAATATGAAATGTGATATTATGATATTATAATAATAGAAATATATTCTATAATATAAATACATAATTTTTAATATCTTAATATATCTAAATATATTAAAAAAAACTTGTATTGTTAGGAAATCTTAATAATCTACGATAAAATCAAATTAGATTGTTAGTTTCATAAAGCTTACACTGGTTGAATGTGTGCTATATCTGCTACTCTTAATATCGGCCCATGGCTTCGCAGCTAACAAAGTAATTCATATATTTATATCTACTTATATAGACGATGTAATATACATACAATATATACATGTGGATATGAGCATTATCTTGAACTGTCATACTTATAGTATATTAAAGACCCTTGAATACTAACTTGGTATAAATAATGGCATTATCCAGAAGCAAGTAATATTATATATAAATATCTACAAAAAAGAAAAGGGGATTAGTAAGGGAACAAAAAGTTTTATTTGTCGATTAACTGTTACTTTTGTTTCATTCTGAAACATTATGTTTTTGTATCGTTGCAGGTTTTAAAGAAATCAAGTTTCGATTTAGATTTTATCCAAACAGTTATGATAGTTCTGTTGCCAGAAACTTAGTTTGGGCTTGTTGGGGATTAGTTTCAGTTAATTTGAACAATAAAAAAAAATGTCTTACTAAACAGTCTTGATATATTATGAACGAGTACAGATATGCATAATAATAGATCTTATATTTATTTCAAAGAGGCATCAGTTTCTCAAACCACTTTTCCTACATGCCGTTTAACAGATATGAAGCTTATTTTGAAACTAGTATTTATTCTACATTCTAGCTTTTATTTCTAAAATCTTTTTTTGTTTTGGTTTCAGAATATATCATATGGAAGTAAGGTTCATTATCATATATATGATATATTTTAGATAATGTGGTTTTGTTTAAAGTACTGTATAAAAAAAATTATGTACTAGTTTTAAGCATGACTAACTGCTGCTTAGTATCTTGTTGAATGGCACAAAAACTAAAACAATTCAGTCAAGGTTTCGTGGAAAATAATACGGTGGTACTTTGCGATTAAGTTATCAAATACGCGATTTCGTGTCTCAGCGGTACACTATATAGCAGAAAACCTAAAGAAATTATAAAATACGAACACAAGGGTTAGAATATGGATTAGATAGGTAGATGATATGGGAATAAGGAATAATAAGAAATAAGAAGGGGAATGAGAACGATATAAAAGAAATAATAAAATACGCATACATAAGTGAGAATATGGATTAGATAGGTATACGATGTGAGAATAAGGAATAGATTAGAGCTGGTGGGGTTTTAATCGGAACTAACCTGAGGTAACTCGCAAAGATTTAGCTTGGCTCAAAGCAAAAGTTTAATTAAGCACGTTGCTATAGCTTGACTTATGACAGCTGTAGCTGTACGAGTAGGACGTCGTTTTTCCTGGCAATACCTACGGAGGTATGTCCTATGCGGTCCGGGAACCTGGAAGCACACTTTTTTGGTGAATTTATTGCATATTTATATCACACGAAATTTTCAGAACTACTTTTTATAATTTAGTTTCTTCAATTTTATTATAGTTTTATTTATAGATCTATAATTTATAGATCTATAATTTGTGTTGTGCACGTCTAGTTATTAATTACAGAAAGTTAGTGTTATTTTTTAACTGGAAAAAATAAAGTCAAGGAAATTTGCGATAAAAAGCCATCGACATTGCAGACATAAAGACCATTCAGACCATTCATAGCTAGCAAAATAACTAATAAAGCACACCTATCTTTCCTATAGGTAATAAGCCAGCCAGTGATTATAATATTTAAAATATTTCAATAATTTACTTTCTAATTAAATTTTAATCAATCATTTCGGTTAAGAATTTGTTTTCAAGAATAAATTTTTTCGTTAGATTTATTTTTATAAAATTACTAATATTGGGTTTTTTTGAGGAAATAATATTTTTTTATTTATTAATTTATATTATTGCTATCATCAGTTTTTCTTTTTGTAAAGTTGTAGGTCAATAGTTTATTAATTAGAATTTTTTGTTTGATAACATTTTTGAATGTCGCAAATAATTCTTTTATTAAATTTTATTTTATTTTATTATTTTATGGCTATTCTTTCATAGCTACTTATCTGGAATGATTGCTAAATAAAAAACTGTATTAAAGTTATTAATGGTATGTGGTGTATATCTATAGTATAATAAGCCTATCCTTGCTGGCTGGAAATTAGCTATTGCACTTACGAGAATAGAACGAAAAACACATTTTTCATAAAAGCAAAAACTTTTTTGACGAATATCCACAGTTATCTCATTCAAATTGATGTATTGTATATTTATTGTCGAATAAATGTTCTTTTTAATAAGTATTGTCGTGGTTGTGGATCAGAGAAAGGCTCTCACATTTTTTTTGTAAGTATAGATTTTATCACATATATGTACAATAGGCTCGAACCTTCTTAAATGTTGGTCTTTATCTCCAATTTGCGGAATAAAAACATTGCTCATTTTGTAAAAGCCATAGGTTACTTTCCCGATCAAGAATGTCATTATCATGTCATTATTAAATTTTAAACAGTTAGCTAACTTAAATTCACATAATTGTGGTATGACAACACGACCGCCTCTTACAGTCAAAGCTAACCTGCCTTAGATACCCTGTCAGATGGTTATCTACTATGTATCTAGAATTAAAAGTAGCAATGGCTTCCAATGCCCATTGTCTTGCCTTTTTAGTTTCAAATCTCTTTCAGTTGAAGGGTAGGTTTTGAACATTTATATATATTAATCTTCTTCTAATTTGGCACTACAGTCCAATATGAGCCTTGGCCTCCCTCACGATCTGACTCCATCTGTCCCTATCTTCTGCTACTTTCTTCCAGTTCAGTACTCCAATCGTTCTTATATCACTATACACGTTCTCATGCCATCTTGTTCTTGGCCTACCTCTGTGCCTGGTTGTCATCGGTTTTGCGTTGAATATGCTGTTCGGCTTTATGTATATTAATATTTATATATAAATTTTACAGTTAGTGCGATTTTGTCGTCTGTTGGAAAGTTTATAAGTTTAAAGTTCATGAGTTTATAAATATTTATATATTTTAGTTTTTATTCTTTCAACCAATTTTGACGACCTATGATGATGTTGTCTTTAGCTTGTCGTATAAAAACTATCCAACCTTTTCGCTACGATATTTATTATATCTGCTAACACTTAATTTAGCAATTTCTTATCTCTTTAGATCTAAGAAAAGAGATATATCCACTTGTTCCAACTAATTCTGGTGATAAAATTACATTTGGAATCTTATCATTTATCATTCATATAACATGTACGTTCCAATGATGTAACAGTTCCCTTATGTCACGAAGTATAGTGGCACCACCGATTGGTTTGAATAGTTCATTATAGTACTCGTACCACTACTATACAAAACATCTGAATTAGTAGTTAAGCATTTTTGCTCTACGAGTATCGTAAGACATCACAGATCTTTTCTTCAAATGAAAAGAAACATTCTTAGTTACTTAAATTTATTTATTTAATAATTCTTCTTAATTAATATTATAATAACAGAAGTTATTAGGCGAACAGTTTCACATAAAAATGTATAGACTATTTAATATAGTTGTCTATAAAGTAATTTAAAAATTTGTATGATTGTTTTTTTATTATTTATATACTCTTAAGCGATGGAGAGAATAAATATGTATATCCGTTCGTAAGATTTATGTTTTCTCATGCGTTAGCAACTAGTATCGAGTTCGATTAAACGATGAGCTATGTGAGCTATACGGCGACATTGACATAAGTGCATAAAAATTTATCGGTTTCAGTGGCTTGGTCATTTACTTCGGTACCCACAAGTGGAAAAAGTGGTATAGAACGTCCGCACCTTCGGTGTAAGAGTCTGGTGACAAACGATTTGGGAGCGCTCGGTACTACCAACTGGCGACAACCAGTCACTGATCGGACTAGCTGGCGGAGGCTACACGAACCGGTCACGGATGACTCACATCTTGAAATTCCAATTAAGTAAGTAAGTAAAAGCATTTTATTTAAACATTCTAACACTCATTTTATGATGTGATTGGTTTAACAGACTATAGAATAAACAATCGCATAATCAGACCTAATTAGAATAGTTAGAATATAAGAAGTTTTAAACCTAGAATTATTTTTTGTGTGTTATGGAACACTACTTCAGTTCTTTAACTAGTGTTATTCCATCTCCAATTGATAATCTATCACGATATTTATATATTTTTTATTTCTTGATTTAACTTATATTCAACTTTTCTTTAATTTCTATTGTCATTTCGAATTGTACAAACCTAATAGGTGGACTTAGTGCATCCGCTAGACATAAACCTAATAAGACTTCTATAAGAACTATTATGAGTACATCATTAACTTTGTCATTCAACATTGAAAAATAAACGGAATTGATTTCTCAACACATTTTCAATGGGTTTATGCGATTAATATGAACTAATCTCCTCATCGTATAATTGTTATTGATTGCTAGTTTATTTTTAAAAATATATTATCGTTTATTGTTAAAGTAAATAGTTAAATAACATTTTAAAACTATATCTAAACATATGTGTGTACGTATGTATATATGGATAAATAAGTGATTTATTTATTTTTGCATTATTACAACACTTTTTGTTTCTTCAATAATTTCTAAGTCCTCCTATTACGAGATAAGATAAACCCCGCTATTCACTTGTAAGTGAACTTACAAATAAAACAGCAATCATTAATACTTTTAAGTAAATAATTTCATGTTTTTACCGTAGTTACTTTTCATAATTATTTATTTATTTTATATTTTGTATATTGTTATAATATTCAATATTTTATTTTTGGTAAATAATAAATTTAATACATTTATTAGATTAGATTAGGATAGGTTATACGGCTGTTGACCAGTGGCGACTCACTTAGCTCATTTATTAACTCATTTTTAAATCGTTCACATTGCGTTGAATCTCATACATACAATGAGAATCAATTCTCTTTAATCTGAGATTTTGTTCACCCGAATTGGTGGAAAACATCGAAAAATACCGTATAAATCTTTCGATGTTTCGACATAACTTTAACCTACAGAAATCATATTTTGGGAGTGATATACAGCACTCAATCCATGATAGTTTATTATACTGTGAATTTTGTGCCAATATTTTACAAAACTTTTCAGCTCGTTTTAAGAAAACGGAGAAATTTTGAAAGAGATAAGAACCAGCTGACATTTGAGTTATGTTCAATGTCAGACTTGAGACTTTTAAGTCTTGATCTTAACAGGGCAGGACAAAAGCCCTGTCCGAATAAAGCGAACATAAACTGTTGTCAGCGAAGCCTAGACAAAAGCGGTATTTGGCACAAGTTGTGCGACCAGCATTCACATCAATTAGTACTTTATAGGCCTTGTGACACAGAGTCACAAGAAAACCTGTATTCTTTTAGTTAATTTTAGGTAATTTGATTTTGTTAATTATTATTTTATTTAAATAGAATACAAACTTAAATATTTTGTTTTACAATACTTTTAAGCAAGCCAAATTCAGGTCCACAAGATACTACATTACAACCGAGTATTCAACCCACTAAATGGTTAAATCATTGTGTCTGCCGAAACGACTGTAACGACTGCTAAAGTTAAGCAGGGCTTTAAGTGCTGTTTGCTTGTCAGGTAAAGTCATGATAATCCTCTCCTTCAGTCTACATTCAGCCTCAAGCTATGTATAGCACTGTCAGGTTAGCATTGTGTGATGATAACATATATTAAAAACTGCTTATTAACACAATATTGGACGGTGTTTATAAGTTTTTTTTCGTATACCAGAAATAGTAAAGTATTTATAAAATTATCTTGTGGGTTGTGTGGTAGTATATCTTGGAAATTTGTGATATTAATACATAACATTGTTTTAGGAAAAAGATTCCATGGTATATTAGATCAACAGACATATATAGAGATCTTCGGATTGACTCAGTGAAAAAATATATCAGAGACAGAGCTCTAAAATTATTCACTAAAGTTGATACGCTAATTAACCCCGCCCTAACAATCCTCAAGTCCACTTCTGGACTCTCAGGAAGATATGCTGATTTAAGGTCCGTCATCAACTAAAAGATAAATAAATGATATGATTTCTTAGCCTAGTTAAAGCCTAGTGTGGGGTAGAGATAAGCCCCTCAGCTATTGTAGAGTAAAAGTCCGTAATAGCACTAACTCAAGAAGAAGAATCAAGGCGATCAAGAAGAAGGAAAAAGAAGCTGGTAGATTTTATATTACTAAAATAACTTAGCTACATTCTTATTTTAACGGAGCAAGATTTATGCAAATGCCTTGCAAAATATTCGCTATATGCAGATCTAAGGCGATAATATATATAATATGATGAAAATAATAATAATATACGATAGTAAAATAATGGTACGGTCTCTATAACAATACGGGCTTTGTCTGTGAGCTTTATAATGTTTATCGTCAATCAGGTCACCAACCAGCGACGCAAACAATAAAGACCGTATAAATATATAAAAATTTTTTGTAAAGACCGTATAATCAAGAACGTAATACTAAAAACATGTTGTGGTCTTTGATAAATATTATATCAATCTCGTTTTATTTAATTATACACGTGATAGGCAGACTGCACAGAACGTAGCGAACTGTAACCCTTCTGAATGAAGAACAGCATTCTAATCTAAGGAATAGAAGCACAGTAGTTTCAATAATTTCGGAAAAATCTCTATTTTACAATCGCTCATTACAATCGCTCATTTTGGTTCTAAAAGAAATTCTGAAAGTTTTCATAGATATATAACAACGTTATGTGATAGTTTTCTTGATACACATGTTATTTGTTTTAATATTTTGGTCATTATATATATTTGTCCTCATATATTTTGAGACTAAAATACACTTTATTGAATTTGCAAGTTGACACAAGCAATAAGTATGTCATTGATGGCGAAAGTTTTTAAGATGTTTCAAGCTGATTAGTACAGATAACTCAGAAAAGTGTAAATATGGGCGATGTACTCAATGGGCGATGTTGATGTATTTATATCATTATTATTTTTATATTTATTGCAGAATTAAGGCAATTAAAACATGTAGCTATTAGTTTTGATTTTGAAAATTTGTTTTTGATATTATTTAGATCAAGGGTTTTAATCACAAATTTTGAGTTTTGGATTTTCCGTCCAACTTTGTATTGTTATGCACCAAGTTTTCATTTACAGTTCACTTAGAGTTAAAGTCGGTTCATGCAGTCCCATATTATCCCATCTCTGTTGATGTTCCTCAAAACTCAAACCTGTGTCTAATTTTATTTGATATCAAAACTTTTGACAATTCCATTCTTTCTTCCTATGTTAACCGAATTTAATGTCCAGTTGTTTGCCCCATTTATATGCGATGCAATAGAAAAGATTTTTTAAAGTACTTTCATACTAAGAGATTATAAATAAAAAAAGGAAAAAATTACACTCAACATAAATCATTCTTTTATCTAAACACAATATATGTTGAAGATTATTGTTAATATTTATTCATTTTACTTATTTTTCTTATTGGTTTAGAGGTTTAATATCGAAGGGTGTAACGTTATGAAAAATTAAGCGACTGGTGCGAAACCAACACGGTTGTTGCCTAAATCAAATTCAGTGTAGTATTTGCCAATGAAGACATCACCCAAAATCCAGAAGTCTGTGCCCAAGTAGGTGAAGGCAGACATGCAGCTATCATCAACATTAACAATGTATGCACTAGAATCCAAAGTGAAGGTGGTGCCACCAATAACGAATGAAACATCTGGCAAGGTATCGACGGAATCACAGTCAACAACATAGTTGCCATCATCATTTTCAACAGCACCGATCTCAGCGTTCACAGATAGATAGGCATCATATGGGGCGACAATAAGACTGGTACCGGTATCAGCAATAGCTTGGCAGTTGTCGCAAAGGCTTTCCTTATTAACGGTGGCGGAAGTGACTTCGAATTGCCAATAGCCTTCACTTGAGACTGGTACATAGGTTAAATCGCCGACATATTTAGTTGCGTCAGAACCACCGAAAATCAATTCACCGCCTTCAGTTGCAGTTCCATCGCGAGCCAAATAGAATGAAAACACATCAGAATCAACCAAACCTTGTGACCACATATTGTAGAAAGGTGGCACAACATCATCGTTAGCAAGTGATTGGTAAGCCATACCGAAGAGACCATCAAAGTTAGAATCCATGAAGTTTGATGCCTCGCTCATAGCTTCAGCAAATGTTTGTGATTTAATATCCAAACCGGCAACGGAGACGGTGTCTGTGGAGAGGAAACCACCCATGCTTCCAGAGCCATAAGAAATGCTGATGGATTCACCGTTTGCAACGTAAGTGCTGGAGTCATCGTGATTGTATTGATTGTGCTTCTTGCAAACGACATCCCAGAACCAGCAATGGCTAGAAGGAACCCATAAATTGGAGGAACCAGAATCGAACAGAACAAGAAAATCTTGTGGTGGTGTGCCAATTGTGATCTTGCCATAATAATTCATGTTCATGGAGTTGTACATTTCCTCCAAGACACCGGATTGTGGCTTGCCTAAATTGTATTTGGTGCGCAAGTTAATCAGTTCAGCACGGATGTGCTTGGAGGTCTTCTTGAAGTTTTCATGTTTGTAAACTGGCATACGAGCCAGGTCAGCAGTAACAACTGCTACAATAGCGAGAAAAACCACAAATTTAAACATTTTTCTGTAAAAGTAAGAAAATAAATATGTTTTATAAAGTTCAATAGGCGAGGGTTTTTCAAGTTGAATACCAACCTTGTTTACTTTTTGCGTCGGCGGTCCGGACACAATTACTATTAGCTGCTATGCTCTTGCTCTAATTTATAGTCACCCGACGTGCAAACATCACTTCCCATACTTCATTATCTTAACGCGAATTCTGATTTCGGTTAACTTATCTCACAAATTCGCCGGTTTTTGTCTCAAAACTGTTTGAAGTGCTTTGCCTAATATTAAGTGGGTTAATCTTTTGATCGGAATTGTACTTAATAAACCTAACACTCAAAAGTAGATATAGTATCTATGTGTGTGCATATTTAGCTGTACCCGTACATACTCTGAAATCAATCAAAATAAAAAGCCAATAAGTTAATCGCACTGATTGGATTCGATTTGATTTAGTTCTTCAAATTAAATCGAAGTGAAGTGTGCGCCAGAAAAAGATTTGCAATATTTATAAACTTTTTGAAAACAAAACAAAAGCTTGAGATATTTGGAATTTGTTTTGCTTGACACAGATGTTGGGACTTCGCTAACAGCTCAGTAAAGATATTGTGTTAGTGAACTTATCGATAAAATTCTTATCGGACGACAACTAAAGTAGCTCTTCAATTCGAATACGTTCAATATAGAAAGCATACATGAGTAGAAAAGTACATATATACAATATATACAATATATGTCGTGAAAGTTAATCTTTAATAGTCACCCTTTTTTATAAAATCTAATAGTTTTATTTTTAAATCTTTGTCTATACAATCATACTAAACATATGTTTATAAAATGTCAAATTTCAGATTTGGGTTGAGTGATGTTAATATGTGTGATTACCACAAATAACATTTATTATTTTATTTTATTATTTATTTCATGCTTAAATGGTACACTACATATAGTGTTATATGGATGGTAATTATTTTAATGGTTTTTATATACGTAGATCTTCTATAAAATAATTAGTTAAAAGCGAATCATGAAGTTGCGTCTATGCTCCAATGGTGGCGAGTTCGAACAAGTGGATTATGCAGGAGTTGTCATGATGAAGAGAAGGTAGAATCTATCAACCACTTCCTGTTTCTCTGTCCAGAATTGCAGACAAGGCGATTTCAATGTCTTGTGGATCACTTTTTCACTGTTCATGGTAGAGATAAGGAAATTAAACTTATCGGAACTCCTCAACTTCATCTGGAAAACCAAATGTTTTAACAAGGATAATAAAGGTGGTTAGCAACTCGCCTCTCCCGGCATAATTTTTGAGGGCATCACAATGAACAATATATACCTCCGTATGGAAGAGCTGACAACTGTCAGCACGTGCTTTCTGAACCTAACTGTAACCTTCTATAACATAATCGAAACCGAAGCTCGGTTGCATACACTTCTACTGTTAGTGAAAGTGTTGAGGAAGATATTAATTGATCTTTTAGACGGCGAATTTTGAATTTGAGCCTATATTGCAGCATATTACGCTGTGCTTCGGAATTGGATTTAAAGCTTCATTCTAAAGCTAAAGTTAACATTAGTTGCGTTCAAGAAGCTATTCCAGTGGTCTAGATCATCTTGTAATATTTCTATATCCTCTATTAAGTTCTTGCACAGCAATTTGATAGTAACATTGATAGTTAAACATTTTGTTATGATTAAATGTATGACATATGTATATTTTGAAACAGGGAGAACTCCTTTAAGCGAACACAAATCTTTAGCCAATTTTTATTTCTTAAAAAAGTGTATCCGACCAATTTCGTATCATTGAATAATTTGCTCCAAATAATGATAAAAATAAAATTTGATTTTAGTTAAAATTGATACCCAAGATTGGTGGCTTTTAAGTGGAAATATTATTTAGAATATAGTTTTCACTATTCTAAATATGATCTTGATTTTCTCTGTAGTATTAATTCCTAATACAAAAAATAAATCTAATCAATAAAAACTAAATGTATATTTGATGATGTTATAAAGAAAATATTAAGTAATAATCATTATAAGACGTGTAATTATATATACATTAACTTCATAAATAAACTAAATCAAGGTTTTATATTAGGTTGGGCAAAAAATTATCGTTGGTTTTTGTTCACTTTATATTATGTTTCCACTGCAGCTAAAACTACTTATGTTAATGAAATTAAGATTTGCTCGTTTCCCTTGGCATAAGTTGATTTATACATGAAGTAGCTTATTTGTTTACATTTTACATATAAAACATATGACAAATATTTAAATTTTGGAAATCTCTCTTATGGAAAATTTGATTTTAAGTGTTGCTTCGACATGTTTCGTCTTAAATCAGTTAATTTATTGAAAATGATCTCAATTATATGACAGCTGTTTGTATGTTAAATCATCCTTATTAGTGCCTATAATGAGCAAAACCGCCTAAATGAGACAGTGTGAATGTGCTATAATCCTGTGTTCAGACGCTAAAGATGTTGATTCTTTATGGGTTTTTATATACATCTTTAATCTTACTTTTTCAGTAAATGGAAACAGACTTAATCGACTTAATCTTTACATAATCTATATATAAGTTATGTGTACATTCAACAGTTGAAGTCAAAAATGAATATTTCATATTCAGTAGGTTTGAAATGGATTCAATTATTTATGTGTTAAAAAACCTATACCGTCTGTCTACAGGTTGGCTGGGCTGAAAAAGGTCCTTTTTGTATTATTGATGTTTCAATTTGTTTAATTATTGTTATTATTTTATAAAAATTTTATGCATTATATATTGAAATATTTATTTTCTATTTTTTGAAAATATGTTTAATTATAAGTCAATAAACACAAAACAAAGAAAAAGTTTGGATATATGTATATAAGCCTATAGAATAGATATATACACATAGCAATAGTAATTTTATCAAAAGATTTTAAGGATTTTTCTGTATAAGTTTAAAAAATAAACTCATATGTTAATCAAGTCAAAACTGATCTAGGATTACTATAAAGCTCTCGAAACCTTATTCTAATAAAACTACATAACTGTTATCTGTAATTTCAAATACTAAGTTATGAGAGACATGAAGAAAGTTAAAGTAGAGCTGGCTTAGTCGAAAGAGGCGAATAAAATCTCTGCATAGGTTCCAAACCATTATACGAGGTTAAAATCAATTTCAAAAATACTTTATTTTTGTGTCTTAATAACCATTATTAACCTTAGCAGAGAAGTTATCAACATCCACTCTATAGTAAACTAAAAATTTATATTACTGTAAATTGAAATGTAAACTGAAAATATTAAGTTCTGCTTTGAGGATCTGGAAACATTTTTGCACCTAAAACACACGTCACTGGTTAGTCGTGAAATATACTTGATGAGACCTGGTATTTTTAAATTTGAGAACAGTGTTTACAATACATTGTGACCGAAAAGTTTTCGGGAAATTTTAAATAAAACGCAAAATTCTTAACCTTCATCAATATTTATTTTATCTCCTTCAAAAATATGCTCCATTAGAGCGATACACAAATGCCAACGTTTCTTCCAATCATCAAAACATTTTTTATAGGCGCTTTCCGGTATGGCTTTGAGTTCCCTCTGCGAATTCTGTTTTACGTCTTCTATGGATTCAAAACGCGTTCCTCTGAGTGGTAATTTGAGGTTGGGAAACAGGAAAAAGTCACACGGTGCAAGATCAGGTGAATACGGTGGCTGTTCGATGGTATTTATTGAATGTTTGGCCTTAAAATCGTTGATAATGTTGAACAAATTGAGGTGAATCGGAACAAGCCGGGCGTTGACACGTCGCATACACAAATTGTCCACCAAAATCAAACGAGCCATCTCACGACCGATGCCTAGCTCTCGTGCTATCTCTCTAACACTCACATGAGGATTTTTGAACACGATTTCCTTTGCCTTTTCAATGTTTTCGTCGGTGGTAGAGGTCGAAGGTCGTCCAGAACGCGGCATGTCTTCGACGGTCGTACGACAGTCCTGAAAGGCTTTGTACCACTCATAAACTTGAGTTTTCGATAAAACTGATTCCCCATAAGCCTTTTGTAGCATTCGCAACGATTCTGCACACGAAATTTCGTTCGAAAAACAAAATTTGATGCAAACTCTTTGTTCAATATTTTTTTCCATTGTTTTTTTCGCAACGCACTACTGAGGTGAACTGGTTTCAACAGCTGCCGTAAACGAACTGTCCTGACAGATCGCGCTCATTTTTGGCATAGTAATTGGACTAATTGCTGCCAAACTACATAAACTTAAAATATCGAAAAATATACAGCGCGCGAATTTTAAATGAGAATTTCCGAAAACCTTTCGGTCACAATGTATACTTGCATGAATGTTAGATTTCCGATACCTAATACTAGATTGACCTAAATAAAATTGTTTAAAATATCTATTTATTTCATATTTCCACTGTAACTAAAACTACTTATTTTAATGAAATTACGATTTTGTTGTTTCCATTGGCAAAAGCTGATTTATGTATGTTAAATATCTTGTGTCTTTACATTTTACATATGACATATTATATTTTACATTTTATTTTATATTTTACAAGACTAATGTTACAAATTTTAGTGATTGCACTTGTGGGAAATTTATTTCTAGGTGTTGCGTTCGACATTTTTCGCCTTAAATCAGTTGTTTTATTTATAATGAGCTCATTTATATGAAAGCTCTTTGTATGGTAAATCATCTTCATTATTGGCTTAAATGAGTAAAACTGCCAGTGGACACATGGTATTAGGTCATATTGCACACTTAATCTCAACTATAATAACAACAAAAAATGGGAAATACAAATAAAATGCAACAAGTATGCATTTTTAATACATTAAAAAATGAGTTCAGATGTTTGTGTAAAAATATATACATAAATTGCATTCATTAGATTTATCGCATATTTATCTTTGTCTTGTTTTTTGATAACGACTAAATAAATTTTCCCAAATAAATGCGGATCTATGTATATTTACGACTTATATATGTTTATAAGAAAGTAATTTAAAATCAGCAATAAACGTGCCCCCTTTATTATTTGTTTTAAGTGATAAGGAATGTGTATGAAAAAAAAAACTATTTATCAAAATCTTTATCGAAATATTGTAAATTAATAAATATATTTTTTTTTTGTTT